ATGTTAGGTCTCCAAAAATATTGGATAAAAATCTTGATGATGTAGCGTCTTCTCTACCAGTATCAAAAAATATCTAGAAACATTAGGTTCATTGATGAACTTAGCAACAAACAAAAAGCCAGACTCAGCTTTCTCCGTTAGTAACTTTGTCAAGATATAATAGAGATCCTAGAGAAAAACATGGGAAAGCAGTGAATAGACAATTTAAGTACATTAAAAAGGAACCCAAATATATATTTAATATTATATACACCAAACAACGAAAAATTAAATGCTTACTTCAAATGAAAGTTGGTGTACTACTGAAGATAGAAAATCATTTGAGGGTTATTTTATTAGGTAAACATTTCCTATGTTTAAACTGCAACAAGCTAGGGTTTTCAGCACCCAGGGACAACTGAAGATTTCGCGCCCCCCTACTGCTTGGCAAGGATGGAAAACGTATAATTCTAAAATGTCGTAACATCAGTTTGGCGCCCCTTGGATTCTGCGCCCGGGTACAGATGCCCCCTTGCCCCCTCTAGCTACGCTCCTAGGGGGCCGCGAAATCTTCAGTTGTCCCTGGGCTCTGAAAACCCTAGCTACGACTCTGCAACAAACAAAGAATACTTGCTATGTCTACAGTGGAAGCAGAACTTTTGTTATGCAAATGTGTATGTGAAATTGATTGGTACACTGCGGGGGGGGGAACTGAAAGCTTTCAGATTTTACATTACGACTAAAGGGGCGTTTTTTTAACGTTTTATGTGTTACTTTTATTTATTAAATACAATGTTCTTCGCACTTAAAACATAAAATTCAGTTCGACAATATCGCAAAATAATTTTTAAATGGGCATATCTTTAGAAATTCCGAGACAAAGTCTCGCACGCTGGATATAATTTTTTTTCCCGTACATTGTTGCTATTGCTAGCTTTGAAATCGTTGAGTTTGTTAATCAAAATTCGTTAAAGTTTTAAAAAACATGAAACCAATCATGACACAAATTCCAAATTAAGGCTTCCAGATGCCCATATTCAATGGAGAATCAGAAATTTTGAATTCGACGTCATTCAAAAATTCGATGGCTCTATGTACCGTCGTTTTATCACAATGTGAGAAATATAAATACATTTATGCAGATTCTTCGTTATTTAATTCCTTTAAATGTAATATAGGGCTCTAATATTTGGTGACAACAATTTGAAAACTGAACCACTGCAAAATGTGAAAACGAAATTAATAAGCCTTCTGGGCAAATTGCCCCTATGGGCTAAAAATTGGGGCAGCTCTATATCTCCCGTTCTACTGAGCCGATTGAAAATTGCGTTTTTCATACCTCGAAAACGCGACTTAGGATATATATTAGATTTATATATAGCATTATTGTAATATAGGCATTTTGACACAAAATTGGACTTTTGCTGAAATTACATGCCAAATTTTTCCATTAGAACAAAAAATATAAAACTTTTTTTTTTTTTTTTTCTCGCAGTGCACATTTATTTACTTGCAGACCCTGGTCAAGATGATCTAATTGACAAACCAATAGATATTAAAACTGCCGGTCGAGTATTAATAGATTGGACAAAAAAAAGTAGTAGTTCAAGGCACACCAACCGAAAATATTTCTTTATGAAAGATGAATATGAAAGGAATCAAATTATTTCGCAATATTAGTATTCTATAAATCAAGAAACAGGCATTTTAATAAAATATCCAACCAGTGTAAAATTGAAAGATTAACTTTTAAAGTACTAGACGTAACTGTGTAATTAAAATAGTCATTTAGCCCCCCAAAATACCTTTGTTATTTATTTATAAAAGAATAATTTTGAGTCTTAATATTTGAGAGATTTAATGCCTTTCTTGATTGTAGACGACTAAGTTAATGTATCTGGCATTATTAAAGAGTATTAAGATTTTCCACCCCCTTCCATTTATTTTTACTGTTCCTCTTTGAAGTAGATGTTGCCTAGAAAATATAACTTTTAGAAATTATGAAGAAAGCGGCCTTATATTCATGTTACACATGAGGAGAATCACGAAAACCAACTCTACAGTCAGCACGTTCGCTTGGGTTTGAACCCAAGACGAAAGACCACTATTCAGCATTTTTTTTTTATCGCTCGGCCATTTTTTTCGGGAGGGGATGTTTAATTAGAAGATCTTGGGATATAACTTTGGAAACCTAATTTAGAGAAACACACTTTCAGTGAGGAATTGGATGCTGGGAAAACCTTCTCCAAACTTTAGCATTAATATTTTGTTTGGCTTATAGAATTCTCTAATCCGTCTTTCTAGACGAGAAATAACGACATTAATTAAAATTGGTGCAGTCAGCGCTCCCAAAGATATACGCTTACGTGAATCACTTGCATTTTAAAAATAAACCGATAACTTTAACGTTTGTCATGATAAAGGTTTGCTAAGAAAATGTACAGTTCAGTCAAGATAACATCTATCAGATATTAATTTCGACAAATCTTAAAAATTAACAATGTAAAGACATCTGGAAACTAAAATACTGCTCAATTAAATGAAAAGCCTCATATACATCTGTAAGCACGATTGTAAATTATTTAATTGTTATTAGACAAAATACGTATTGAGAAAATGGCAACAGCTAATTTCTGGATGTCGTTCTATATAATTTTTTAAGAGATACTGAGATGATGTACGCTTGAAATGTTTAATGGTACGAGCGTAAGTACGTTGTTAGTTTGTCGTTACGATCGTTACGTGAAGGTTATTAAGATTTATCTTTAAATAAATGTTTGTCTTTTACAACCATTTTACGAGCAATTAATTTAACTGCAAAAGGAAGTGAACACATCTTACAGACATTTACGAAGCACTATACACAACAAATTTACATGGCGATTACAAGAGGTGTAGCTAGGGTTTTCAGCGCCCAGGGAAAACTGAAGATTTTGCGCCCTTTTCTGTGTGCCAAGAATGGGAAACATTTCATTCTAAAATTTCGTAACATAAGTTTGGCGCCCCTTGGATGCTGCGCCCGTGGATGTCTCCCTTTGCCCCACCCTAGCTACGTCATTGGCGATGACCGTCAATTTAAAAAAAAAAAAAAAGGCTAATAGCTTATCTCTTGATATCAGTCTTTGAATCACGGTGACTGGCGAGTAGTGATTCTCAACATTTCTTCCTTTCTTTTAAGCTGGTGGATAGCTTCTCAAAACAGTTTCTTAAAAATCCAAATTCCGTTTATCCGATATCTTTACAGCATAAGGAACATAACGCATAGTCGATGGAGACATCTCCAAGGTTGTCCATCTAGATTTTGAAGATTTGATGACCAGAAATTTGCAAGTTTGTGATGCGAATCTCTAAACCAAAAGTTAGTTGAGAAACAGAATTAGTACATTAGATTGCATTTTTAGTATTAAAAGTCTCACCTCCCCGTCTTTACCCGAAATTAATTCAGTAACGCTTACTGAATTACTGAAATTAATTCAGTAATTAAAATGAACCCATTTTAAACGTTTTCTGAAATATAAGAAAATGTTAAGATTTTGCCAATGCCGTTGGATAAGCCATCCTAAATATTCCTTTCTAAAGCTTAAACTTAAATCTTCAATTAACTGCACTTTTTGTTTTCGTAAATTTTTGTATTAGTCTTATCGCCTCCAATTACTTCGGAATTCGATCGGTTGATTAAAAACATGACGGAACAGATATTTCACGTCTTCTGACAGGCATGCTGAAAATCGAGAATTTTTAAAAATGATATATTATTTTCACTGATTCTTCATAAAATATAATAGCTTATACTAATGCTAAGGAGTTCTTTAATCATTCTAATAAGCCTTTCTCACCAGGATATCGTGGGAAGAAGAAACTTCTAAGTAATACTCTGTACCTCAGCTAATGGATTTATTTTTCTACAATTTATTCCTGTTAGGTAATTCTAAGTATTTCTAAAATTTGTGCCGTTATAGCAATACAATATTCTATGTCGTCCTCCGTTGGCTGTAAAACATCTAAATGAAAGGAGAAATGCATCAGTTGACAGGGATGAAACTACATTTTAAGTACATAGCTCGGTGTAGGGGGCCATGTGAACAAAGCAGTTTATACTTTGTCACTACGCTTTACATGTAAAAGATCTGCTAAATTTATTCCCGCAATCTCAAACACAGATGCAGGCTAGTCTGGTTGCTAGATTTACCGTTAATGATTGAGACATCAGTCGCTGATATTTGATACAATATTTCAGTACATTTCGAATTGTTTTCCAATCTTTTTTTTAAAATTGATTACAGCAAAGTACACAGTCGTATCCTCCAAAGGAAATGATGCCCTGTGTATGTCGTTTAAGATAAAATGCCTCGGACCCATGTTACACATAGGAAAAAAACACGAAGTCCTGTGCAGCTAGCTCGTTCTTCGAGATTCGAACCCCAGCTTGAACTACCATTATTCAGCAACTTTATCGCTTGGCCGCTGGTGTGTATTTTTGCATCTTTAAAGATACACTATTTTTCGCGTATGATTTAACTATAAATTTGGCTTCCTGTATGAGAATTTTGACGGTAACAATGTTCAATAATTTTTTGTGTGAATTACACGATGGGTGAAACCGCTTACTTTTTAAAACATCGTTGTACTTATGCATGCAAGTATAATTTTAGACATCTGTGTATAAATATTATTCAGATAGCGAAAAAGCAATAAGCCAAGAAAAAGGTTGATGATGAATTCGAAAATGTAACTTAAAAATACTAATTTAGCTAGTTAATTAAGGGAGTCAAAGAGCCGCCACCAAGGCTGTTCTTTAAACATTCAAAAATTATTCGAATAATTGAATGATTTTATTAACTGTAATCAGAAGTGACTTGATTTTCTTTTAAATCATGAGTAAAAGTATATTTATTATTTAATACATTCTTAACACAATCACTTATATCATCACTTGTTAGATAACCAATCAGATAAATCCGAAAAGGGAGCATTTAAGTTTTGCAGCTCTGTAAGTGGCAAATATAGTTTTGTTTACATCTGAGTTGCATATTGCGTAATCTCATAGTTACGTCTGCTAGTGCAGAATTTGGTATAGATTTTGTAAACAATGAGTTTTTTTAAGTTTGGTTTCCGTTTTTTTCAAAGAAGTAATGTTGTTAAGCGGCATACTTTATGTAACAAGCGACTTTTATCCCATTATCCAGTTGATGACAACATAAGCGGTCTAAATGAAGAGCAAAAGCAGGTGTTTAATCGAGCATATTATGATCAAACACAGCTTTGGTTTAATGAGAAATAATTTTGAATGCCAGTTTAAATATGGAGTAAAAATTAATTAATTTATAGGATGCAGCTTTGAGTATATATTGTAATATGTTTATTAGCGCATTTTGTCGTACATTTATATAAAATAATTAATTTTAGTCTATGTGTATTTTTAGTTACGAGAAACAGTATTCCAGTTTGCTCAAAAAGAACTTGCTCCATTTGCCCAGGATATTGATAAAAAGAATGAATTCCCTCAGATGAAGGTGATATATGTTATATTACATACTGTTTCTCATTTTAATATTATTATGCAAATATGTATGTTTGGTATTATTTCCTACAGGAGTTTTTTAAGAAACTTGGTGACATGGGACTTATGGGTTTGACTGTACCAGGTGAGCTCACTGTTATTTTTAATATCAAGTGAGTATAATAGAAGTTGTTATTAATAAAAAATGAGACTTTAAGAATTGACTTTAAGAAAGTACATGGGGGAAAAAAAAAAAAAAAAAAAAAAACCCGCACCTGATTAATTTTTTTTTTTTTTTTCCAAATTGCATATTAACACAGATTGTGTTACACTTTTGAATTGCATCAAACAAAATATATTAAACTATACTGTACTTGTCATATTAAGCTGAAATATTGAAATTGTGTTCAAAATTTAATGAAATTGATACTTCCTCATTATCTGTCTCAGAAGCTCTAATGATATCAATTTGTGCTTGTATTAGTTTGCTTGTGACAAGAGCTTGAGTAAACCACATCTTATCCTTTTTTTCCCTTCATATAAATGTTAAAAATTCATAATCACTCACGATCCTGTCATCAGGAGAAGCCTCTTAAGTATTTCACATATTAATGTATTTTCTTTTAAGAAAATATGTTAAATTTTTTTTTAATTGTCAAGAATTGAGGAAGATTCTGCTTATTTCTCTCAAGAAAGGTTAATTTTACTTTGCACTTAAAAATATGAAAATGGCCATTTATTAAAATTATTTATCCGTGAAAGCAATTGGAGGTACAAATTAAAAGTTGCAAGTGAAATAACATGTTTTGACAACTGACTCAGTGGTTTATAAATATTGTAAAATAGACTTCAAATAATAGTAATTCAAATAGCATTGTGATTTTTTAAATTAAAACATTTTTTTTAAAATTTCATATAAACACAGATTTAATGCTACTCTTGTGAATAAAATAAAATACATTAGATCTATATTATGTTTTTTATATCAGGTTGAATTATTATTGAAATCCTGTCTAAAATTTAATGATATTTTATTAAAAGTGAGAAAATTTTGTTGGTAAATTCATTTTTATAGTAATTTTTTCTTTTACATTATGCATATTTAAATCTTTCTTTTTAAGTCTGTGGAAAATCTGCAGTTGTTATGTTATAAAAATGCTTATATATATATTTTTTAATTAAATTATTTTTCATCACCGATACTGATTTTGGTACTTTCTGTTTATCTGCATCCCCATCAAAGAGCTGAAAAAAGTACCATGTCTCCAAAAAGTATTTATATAGACACCCAGGTAGCATACTCGTAGCATCCCCTCAGATAGCTTTCCATTTCTTCAGTCATTTCCTTCATTGTGGTTGCAGATTATGATACCTTCTATAGGAATTTAAGTAGTTTGGCTTAGTGGTGGTCTGCATATTATAGTTTTTGTTATCATCGGCAAAATATTGAGCTAGGCATTCTGCATAGAGTTGTATAGCTTGCATAGAGCATAATGTGGCTCATGTAGAGGCATTGCACAATTCTTTTCCCTTCTAATTTTAGAAATTTTGGTGTCAATGTAGTGTGCAATGGTGAGGTTTGCAAATTTCTGATTTTTTTAGTGAAAACACACTATTGTATACATAGAAAGATTAGCTGTGCAAAATGCTGACACGGGGGGGAAAGAGAAAAGAAGGTGGTACTGGATGCATTGTTGAAATAGATATTCAAATAAAGATATTGCTCCATTTCTTTTGGATATCTGGGTAATCAGAAATTACCATCAGTTTTCATTATAAAATGAGGTACCTTTTGATTATTTGCACCCCTACTTAATGTCTAGAAAAAATGTTTATGAGGCAAAGTAGTATGTTGCCAAAATAGTCATATGGCAACCCACAATATTGCCAAAAAGTATTGTGGCAACTCAGGTATGCATGTAGCACATGTCTGTTTTGGCTACAGTACGATACTGAAGTTGTATGGATGCCAGATTTGTGCAATTTGGTGATTTTTGTAAAAGCAGAAACAAGAATAACAGTGCAAAATGGATTTATTGAAAAAAGATAAGGTTTTTATTACCAACATAGCTTGCCTTTTAAATTTTATTTACTGATGTTCTTGAGTGGATTTTTTAGTGCACTGCCATTTTCAAAATGGCTGTTGACTTTCATGGTGGTTGACTTTCATTTCAAAATGGCTTGGTTAAAAAAATTAGTCGGCAACAAGTTTGTGACTTTTCAGAGAAGGTGTGGATAACCAGAAAGTACCTAAAATAATTTTCAAAAAATCATTTATGACTTTGTATTTACTTAATAACTCTAATTTCTATATTTATCTTTCATTCAGCTAAAGATGGAGGTGCAGAAGTTGGATACCTGGAACACTGTGTGGTGATGGAAGAATTATCACGTGCATCTGCAGCTATAGCTCTGAGTTATGGTGCTCATTCGAATTTGTGTGTTAATCAAATTGCAAGAAATGGAAATGAGAAACAGAAAGCAAAGTATTTGCCTAAAGTAAGAAATTGCATATAAACATATTTCAGTATTTGTATGTATAACAAGTGATAAATTACCAAATATGATTTATATGTTCATAAATATTGACATAGCAACGAATCAAAACTTGCTCATTCAGTATCCTTATTAAAACAGGAACAAAATTGCTTCCAAATATTACAAATATTTCTTCATATACAGTCAAAAGTCTTTAATCCGGACTCGTCGGGATTTCGGCGATTCCAGATTATCGATTTTTCTGGATTATAGATCATCAGTTAAAATCTGGTAAGATGGCATGCAGAAATTATAAAATTAAAAATATGGAACCGTAATTTATGAAATAAAGAGAATTAGATCTAAAAGGTATCAAAATAAAAAAAAAAAAAAATAAATAAATAAAAAAATTTTTGTTTATTATAAACATTTCTTTCAACGCGCGCATGTGTAAAGCATACATTACACATAGCCAAATTAGAAATTGCAACCAGAAAACTATTTGATGTGTACTCGTGATATTTATAATGATGAGGAATTTGATTTAAATCATATCAAAGACGGAATACTTCGAGATGAAATACTACTTTTAGTAAGGAATTATGGTTGATCTTTACAATACGGTAACTGGTAGTTTAGCGACATTTTGGAGGCGATAAAGGTTACTACCTGGGACTTTGGTAATAATGTGAGCAGTACTCAGTTCCGATTACGCATTATTTTGTGTGAGGGAAATGAGAGATCATGGGATATGTCATGTGATATTAATGGACGAATTACGGTTCTTGAATCGGAAAAGGGGGGAAATCTGGAACAAATCTAGAAATTTTGTATTTGTTTATTCTGTGTTGTGTGTTGAAACAGTGTTCGTGAATTTTTGATCCCATGGCCGTAACTCAAGAAAAGTTTATCGGACACGTAATCAGATTGAAGAAGATTAGGTAAGTTAGTATTTTAATTATTTGAGGATATTATTTTTAGCATTGTTCTAAATGTAAGTGGAAAGGAATTTTGTATTATGGGAAAATTGTTTAGCAATGATTTAGTTTAAAGTAATTAGGATTGTAAGGTAATTTTTATTAATTAATGTATGTGCTCATTTATATTTTAAGTAGTGTTTTGAATTTAATTATATTTTAATGAAATGATAGTTATTTGTGAATTTTATGTTTGTAGGAATTTGGTATAGTTTAAGTTGAAATAAACATGGAAATAATTTAAATATTGATATAAGTATTTGTAATGCTTGCGGTATGAATTCGTTGGTGACGTGTTATAATGTAATAGATGATTTAGAGGTAAAAGGTTTTGGATATTTTATTTATTTTATATGTGGAAATGTTCATATTTGTAAAGGGTAAAACTTTTTTGCGATCAGGTAATTCATATATGTTCTTTTACCGGGTTAAGATTGAGAAAATTGTCATGTATTTTCGTGAATTTCTAATTTATGAGAAAAAAGCAGTGTACTGGATATAGTGAAGAGTGTGCGCAATGCCCATTTGTGCAATTCTGGGATGTTTTTTAAGTAAAAATAAGTGCCGTGCTGTACATGGTTTATGTGTATGTGTTATTTTTGAAAAACGCGTAAGGGTATGGATTGTGCACTTTTTTTGCAGTGAATTTAAATTGTTGATATTTGTTTAGTAGATTAAGAAGTGATTGTGTGTAGAAAAAAGAAAAGAACTTTACTTGGAAGAAAAAAAAGGCGCGGGAAAAAATAGAGGGTGCTGTAGGAGAGTTGGTCGCCAAATTTTCACCAAAAAAACGCTAAGTTACCATAATGTAAAGATCAACCGGAATTATAAACTGAATGAAATAAAAACATCTGCTCTGAAGATAAGGATAGTGCTGACAGATCAACTTCCAGTTCATCGTGCGCCGCGAAATCCCCCCCCCCCCCCCCGGGAGCAGCGTGAAATTGATAAACATTTTGAATGGTTAGAGAAACAAAGGATATGCCTTTATCCATTTTTTGCAGCAATTCCTCTTTTTGTTTGATGGACATCGAAACATACTTTCGCTTTGTAGATCCTTTGGCAGCTCCAGCATCAGGAATTCTATTTGACATAATCGAAAGTTCAAGCTTACTTTTATAAAATTGCTCTAACAGTCTGCAAAAAATAATAACCCGGATCCAATTCGAAGATTAAGGAACAATGCAATCTGCAACATTAACTGAAATAGATAATTAGATAATTTTAGCTTAGCTTGTACTGTCCGTTATACATTAAATGGGCATGCGCACACGCATATGCACATGCATAAAAGTATTATGTACATGCGTGAAGGCATTATGCGTTGATGCATGCTCAGAAAGTTTGTAGCTTTGAGGTCAGGATTATAGATCATTCTGGATTATGGGTGTCCGGATTAACAACTTTTGACTGTAATAGTTTTGGTTATGCACATTTTTAAGTATGAGGATTTCATTCTTGCTTTCTCCTATAGCTGCAGCTGTAACGTTCTAAAAAAATAGGATTTTTCTGGGTATTGTTCCATTTTGCCAGTGCAGGTGATCAAGTCGCCAAAAATGATACAACTGATGCCAAACGGAATATCTTTGCTGGTAACCTTTTACACCTCAATTTCAAAACAAGTCACAGCTATTTCTTATCAGATTGATTGTTTGGCTAATCTTTAGAATATGGTAACAGGTAGTTTGGCGACATTTTGGTAAGGCGATAAAGGTTACTAGCTAGGACTTTAGCAATAATTTCAGAAGTACACAGTTCAAATCACAGATTATTTTGTCTCGGAGAAATGAGAGATCATGAGACATGTCGCGTGACATTTTCCGGAAAATTCCGATCGTGATTTTAGCTAATAAGCACTTAGAAACAATTTCGCTGCTAAAGTGCAGAATCGCCCACTTATTTTTTTGGAGCTTTATACAAGAGTAAGAAGAATTGGATTTTTGTCAATTTTCTTTGACCTTTTTATGTGAAAATAGGTCGATGTGTACATAGATAAAGTGAAGAGTGTGCGCAATGCCATTTTTGTGCAATTCTGGGATTTTTTTTAAGTGAAAATAGGTCGACGTGTACATGGATAACGTGTATGTGCGATTCTTAACGCGGCAAGGAGTTTGCGATTCTACACTTTCTCCTAATTTCGCACCTAACCTTGGTCATGATTAAGCATTTTTGTTACATAAAAGTTCTAGTATCTAGTATAAGCGTAATTTGGCTAGCAGATTTGTGAAAAAAAAAAAAAAAAATGTTGAAGAAGGGAAAAAAAAAAAAAAAAAAAAAAAAAAAAAAAAAGAGTGCCTTTACTTTGTGAAAACAAAATGGCGTCCAAACAAAAATTAGCAGGTTGCTGTAGCAGGGTTGGTCGCCAAATTTTCGCCAAAAAATCGCGAAGTTACCATAATCCAAAGATTAACCGATTGTTTCTTTCAATACTGGCATAAAATTACATAGAATTTTTAACAGATAGTTCAATTTTATGCCCTAAGGCCATCCGCGATAATTAAGTCAATTAGGATGCAAACACACAGCTCACCCGCAGAAGAAAATATAGAAAACGCAAAGGAAAAAATATAGAAAGTCAAGAGTTAAATTCATCAATTCTAATGAGAATGTACTAGCGAAGTAAAGCACTGTGGTTTTACATAATTTCCGAGTAAGCTATTCGTGCAAATTAAAATGATTCTTGCATTTAAATTTCTATTCCAAATTAAGATTTAACTTGAAATTAATGTAGATGATTACTGAGAGAATTAGATTTTTGTAGAGTAGTTTACGGGAGATGAGATCACTTGGGATCACGTGATATGAACCAGCGAATCAGGATGCTGTATCTTGAAAGTATAGTAAATTCTTAAATTAAGGTCTTTTTACAAATTTATTGTCTTTTTACAAAATCTTAAATGATAATAAAATGTTTATGCCTTCAAAATAAAAAATTCTTAGAACTAACATTTGTTACCATTTTTTATGTTTATTCTGTGTGTTGTCGGCAATAAAGTCTGCTTGGCGAGATTTGTGCCAGTGAAACAGAAAAGCACCTTTTTCTGTAAGTTCAGTGCAGCAACTTACCACATTCGTTATTCTTAGATATCTTAAAATTATTTTGCATACTTTTATGATGTGTGTTATAAGTTAAAAAAGAATGTGTGAAAAATGAAGAATGTTTAAAAAAAAAAAAAAAAAAAAGAAAGAGAAAAGGTGGTGCTGGATGCATTGATGAAATAGACATTACAGTACAAAGTCTTTAATCCGGACTCGTCGGGACTTCAGCGATTCCGGATTAGAGGTTTTTCCAGATTATAGATCATCAATTTAAATTTGGTAAGATGGCATGCAGAAATTATACAATTAAAAATATGAAACCATAATTTATGAAATAAAGAGTAATTATGATCTAAAGGGTATCAAAATTTACAAAAAAAAAGCTTAATTATTTTTTTTACTTTATTAAACATTTCTTTCACATAGTCGAAATTAGAAAATTGCAACCAGAAAACTATTTGATGTGTATTCGTGATATTTATAATGAGGAGGAAATTGATTTAAATCATATCGGAGTACATCGAGATGAAACACTACATTCAATAAGGCATTATAAGCCAAATAAAATAAAAACCTCTGCCCTGAAGATGAGGATAGTGCTGACAGATCAACTTCCAGTTCATTGCGTGCCACAATGCCCCCCCCCCCCGCAGAGCAGCATGAAATTGATAAACAGATTTCGGAATGGTTAGAGAAACAAATCACCTGTCTGTCACTTTCTTCATGCCTTTATCCATTTTTTGCAGGAATTCCACTTTTTGTTTAATGCACATCGAAACATATTTTAACTTTGTAGATCCTTCGGCAGCTCCAGAATTGAAAACTTTTTTTGACATAATCGAAAGTTCAAGCTTACTTTTTATAAAATTGCTCTAATAATCTGCAAAAAATAATAAGCCGGATCCAGTTAGAAGATTAAGGAACAACACAATCTGCAACAGTAACTGAAATAGGTAAATAGATAATTTTAGCCTAGCTTATACCGTCCGTTATACATTAAACGCACATGCGTAAACATATTATGCACATGCATAAAGGTATTATGCATTTACGCATGCGAAGAAAGTTTGTAGCATTGAATTCCGGATTATAGATCATTCCTGATTATGGATGTTTGGATTAAAGACTTATACTGTATTCAAATAAAGATAATCCTCCATTTTTGGTGGGTATGTGGGTAATCCGTGGGAAAAATTTCAAGAATCTCATTATTCCAATACTCCAAATTTCAACGGTTCTATTCCGTTTTGAGGATCATAAAAAATTGCAGCGAAAATGTATGCACAAAAGTGCCAAATCTAGCAAACGAGCCAAATCTAGTGCATACAATGATTTCAAATTGCCTAAGTTTAGATAGTTCTATATATTTTAAAATGCCATTGAAATACTAGTTTAATTATTAAATCCTTTTTTGATATCCTATATCTTAAGACATCATTAAAATGCTAGTTTAATTATTAAATACTTTTTGATATCCTATATATTAAGATGCCATTGAAATACTAGTTTAATTATTAAATCCTTTTTTGATATCCTACAGATTTAACAATTTAAAAATTGCCCATGACTAAAAGTCTGCAATAGAATTTTTTCAAAGAAAAGGCATCATTCATTATAGAAAATTATGTTTGAACAACCAACGAGATGAAATTAAGCTTTAGCAATAACTCGGTAGTGAAATAGCGATGCAGGAATCCATTCAGTTATGTTTAGCCTTTTTTTTATATAAATTATAATAATGATCTGAAATAGTTATTTACTCTTATGCTACCATTCAGTTATGTATAGCATTTTTTATATAAATTATAATAATAAAAAAGTATTATATGAAATTAACCTTTCATCTAAATTAAAACAATAATCTTAGATAGTTATTCACTATTATACTTCCTTTCTTGTGTTAGGGTTGCCGTAATTACTTTTGGCAGCACAGGCATCAACAATAGTTTGGCGATTTTTACGGTCCTCAAAACGGAATAGTACCACTTCAACAGTCTGGTTATTCATGTATTAGTCATTAACTTTTTATTTGATTAGGACAATACACGCGATTATTCTATTACTGCTTTCCACCTAAGGGAAGGAATATCTTTGTGAAAGACCTTTCTAACAGAAATTGTTGCGTATTTGTTTTATATGGTTACTTGCAAAAAATCCCAAAAAAGCTCATGCCTCTGGATGGTTCTCCAAGCTTCAAATTCTTGGACCAGATTACTAGTATTTAGCTGTCTTTCCACTCAATTCCAGTCCAGTCAGTATCTGAATCTAAAGTGATTTACATCCGCCCAGCTTAGATCCTGGTTACACCCATGATCGTGAGTATTCTAGACTTCCGTTAAAATCGCTGCATTTTTTTTTTTTTTCTGTTATAGGTTTAAAGCTCACAGGAAGGTATGGCAGACAGTTTTAAATGTCCCAATAACTCCTTGATTCATTAATTGAATGAAAGATGTACTTGGTGAAAAAAAAAATTATGTGATTGTATAAAGGGGGGGGACTAATAATTTGTGTACTAAAAATATTTTTTGTATACAATAGAATTTATTTTTATTTTGCTGAGTTGCTATTTAATATGGTTTAAAATTTTAAAAACTGGTATGTAGTGAATCCAGCTTAACCAAAGCTGGATTGTGTGAGGTTCGGAGAAAAGGTTTATTTATCTTTATCTAATTTTTATATTCAGAAAGAAAGCTCTCTGTTTTCCCATATTTCATTTCACGTTGCTTTAAATGGACTTTTTCCCATTAAAATTTAAATTAATGTTTCTTAAATTCTTTAGCCTATATTTGCTACTATATCACTATCCTTTATAATTCAGATTATGAGAATGTTTGGTCCTTGAGCTTGAAATTGAATTAATTATTGTGTATAACTGGCATGCAGTGAATTATGCAATTTTCTTTAATTACTTTTAACGTTCAAAAGTATTTTCCATTCAAACTGTATGTAAAAAGGTAGCATATTTTTAGACATTGTTTCGTCAAATTTATTGCTTATAAATCAGTGATACTATAATGCATGGGTTATTTCTAATGTTTAGTCTTATTTTTATTTATGTATAAGTAAAATATTTTTTTAAAAATTGGTGGTAGTGCTCATTATTTGATTTAAAAATACGAAGATGAGTAATATTTCCTTTTAGCTCATAAGTGGAGAACATATTGGTGCACTAGCAATGAGTGAAGTTGGATCTGGATCTGATGTTGTATCTATGAAAACAAAAGCTGAAAAAACAGGTAAAATGTTATTGTTGTGTATTTATGTGTATAAGGAATGTAAATAAAAATGAGTAAATATTTTTGTAAATTTCATGGTTTTTCAAATTTTTTTTAATGAATTTAATTACATATTTTTTGAAAAATGGGATTCATTGTGTAAATTATAATAATTATTTTTCATGTTTCATAAAAATATGAAATAAAATCATGACTAGTAAACAGCCTAATTTTCCATTTTCTAGTTTTTTATATATGGCTGCATTATTCAACGACAGTACTCAAGTCACATCAATGGATGTTGATGTGTTGCAGTTGTAGCCATAAGCTGGGTTTGAATGTGGTCTTTTGGGTTAATAAGCCCATACTTAAGCAGCTCAGAACAACGGTTGCATTCAGGACCCATGGGAAGATGCAGGATGTGTTATGTAATGAATGAGACATAGAATATATTTTAGTCTCTGGAATATATCTTGCAGTGGTCGTATTACAGTTTTCTTTACAAAGCATGTTTATATATTTTGCTTTTTAGGTATTATGAAAATCTTTGATTTTTGATTTATATTTTTGGTTTTGGCCATGTATACGAGTTTATGTACTGGTCGTATAGCAATAGTTAAAACTGCTATTGTGAGGACTTCATTGATATAATGTAAAATGTTTGCATATTTATTAAAGTTTTAACATTTTCAATTTGCACATGAAATGGGAGACCTTTTTTTATGAGATGCTTGTATGCCCTGTGTAATGACCTCGCGGATTAATAAGGCACCATAAGGAAAACGACACCAACATTTATTAAAAATTAACTTCAAAGAATAAGTGAAAAAAAATACATTTTAAAGAATAAGCAAACTCGGAGCACTACCTCGCTCCTACAACATAATTAACCTACAACCTGCCTCCTCTGAGGCTAACATGCACTGGCCTCTCTCACTTGCTGGGCTCTGCCAGGCAGCTGATTGGCTCACCGCTGCCAGATACATGACACCACCCGGTAAGATTGTGCTACGCCAAAGCGAAGCAGAATCTGAAAACTGAACCAGCAAATACAAACTTAAATTGTATACTCCACATACCAAATTATTCAAAATATGAACATGTATACATGATGTAATAACATACTTTGAAATAAATGCAATAGCATTCATCTCACAACAGATGAACGATGGCTTGATACAATACCGGAGTTCTGTAAAAACATATATGCAATACTATTTCAAAACACACTATTATAATGCAATTAAATGGAAACCAGTAATGGATTTTCAAAACAGATGGAAGTTATCCGTACAATTCCGGAACAAAAAAGTAACTAATGCAAAGTTTTAAAACATATTAGTTCATACTTAGTTCACACCTATTTCATTCACCCACTAGTCTGAAAGACCATCTGCATTTTTTAATTGTGCCCAGGCATGAGAAATATGGAATATTATAGCGCTGAAGTGCCAATTGCCCACCTCTGTAATTTGGCTGAATGCCGGGCGACTTATACAAATTAATAATGGATTATGGTCTGTGATCAGCTCGATATTCGATCCAAACACCCACCACTCGACTTTTTTTAATGACCAAAACAATGGCATAAGCCTCGCGTTCAATAGTTTGACCAGTTCTGCTGAGTTTTCGAAAGTTTTTGACTGGCAAAGCTGATAGGATGCAAAACTCCTTTGCTGTCCGTTGTGACAAGCAAGCACCAACACCATATGAACTAGCATCACACTGTATGGTGTAAGGTTTTTCTGGTTCTGGAGTGTACAGTTTTGGTGCTTCACACAGTCGACGTTTCAGTTCTTTAAATTCTGATTTCTCAACATCAGTCCATGGAATTCTCTCAAATTTATTTCGCCTGTTCGGGCAATCCTTAGCCAAATGTAAACTGCTACTACACACATAACATTCTCGCGGTTTAAACGAATGTTTCTGTTCATTTACCACTAAATCTTTTCTTAGCGCTGGTGGAATATATTTAGAGTTTTTGTTGTATGAATCACGAAAATTAGCGCGTTTTTCACCTCTTATGTTATCAAAAGATTTACCTTTTGCGATGAAATAAGTGTCGCATTCCTGCGCTAGTTCTTCTGGACGTAGCCAACTTTCACCTTGTCGAACTGCAACATGGCACGCTAAATCACTATCCAATGTTTGAAAAAGTTTGTCAGAAATTATTAAGTTAATTAAAGACTCAAAATCATTGACGTTTCTACTTTTTACAATAATGGATCCAAACATGATCTTAAACGAGAGGCGAACTGCAAATGAGTTTCTCCCCATCAACCTTTGAGCTTGGCGAAAATTTTCTAAACATATAATTGGCGATGGTTCATATTCCTTAAGATTAAAGATTTAATTTTTTCATAATCTTTCAAATCATCATCTTTAATATATACTAGAATATTAGAAGATTTATCACCTATCAGTTTAAGTAAAATTTCAGACTTAAACTCATTTTGGTACGTTCTTATGCTTAAAAGCCCTTTCTATGGAATCAAAAAATAAGTTCCATGCTTCACCCTTTTTAGGTACAGAAATCGATAATGCCTGTACAGCTTTCAAAAGCTTATCTAATGAAAGTGTATTTTCTACGTTATTACTAGATTCGTTGCTACTTTCGATTTGCATTAAACGCAATTTCACAATTTCTTCTGACTTTTTCCTTTCTTCAACCGTAGTATTAAGAAATTCAATAACAAAATCTTTATCTTTCAAATATTCTTTAGAACTTAAAAGCTTATCTTTTAATTCTACAACTTTTAAACTAGAATTGGCTTCTTCACCTAGTTCCTTCAACACTGAAATCAAATCACTTCTACTACTCTTTTAAACATATTTAGAAGAAATTTTCCTTAAAGTTACAACAAAAATTTCTCACCTTTTCTCAAAATCCAGTCGGTTTCGTTAGCTCTGGTTCTCGAAAGAGAGCGTGCTGTAATGACCTTGCGGATTAATAAGGCACCATAAGGAAAACGACACCAACATTTATTAAAAATTAACTTTCAAAGAATAATGAAAAAAAAAATTAACATTTAAAGAATAAAGGCAAACTCGGAGCACTACCTCGCTCCTACAAACATAATTAACCTACAATCTGCCTCCTCTGAGGCTAACATGCAACTGGCCTCTCTCACTTGCTGGGCTCTGCCAGGCAGCTGTTGGCTCACCGCTGCCAGATACATGACACCCTGTATGGATATTTTTGTGGATATGCCATGTGTAATGTAAACATGAACCTGTTTTCCTTAGGAATCTCTGGAGGCAATTGTCATGAAGCAATTACCAACCACTTTCAGATGAAGAATACTGGAAATTTGACTTGAGTTCTTTTTTCTATGGTCAAAATAATATCATAAGATTGTCTTCACTTTTTCTGAAAATTTTCCACCACCTTTCTCTTATACAAATTGTTATATTTTTTCTTCACTTTGAAAAATTTCATTTTCCTGTGAAAATACATACATTTATAGTGTTTTTTTTTCATTTCCTGAAAAAAACTAGAAAAAAGATTCTCAATTTTTTAAAAAGTAGCAGAAGCCAAAATAACATGATTTGATTGTCTTATGCAATGACTGCCTTAAAAGAATGATCTTAATTTTGAAAGAACATACAGTTTGATGTTTAAATTATTTGCAAAGAACTGTGATAAAAAATGTCAGTAGCTTAGCCTGCACTTTTTGTCTTTGAGGTAGTCAATTTCTCAGTTTGACACCTTTCACAATACTCACCAAGAATGTTGCAAAATGTCAAAAGAATGTGTGGGAAAATAAGTTAAAAGTATGTTTGCAGTAAAAGTTGAGTTTAATAGTCTAAAATATTATTTTTCTTGTTTTACTTGTCATAAAAATCATCAGTGATGTTATCAAGTCTCTTTCATTACTCCTTTATTGTTCTGTATATACGAGGGCCATCCAGGAAGTAGATTACGTTTCCGTCTGTGTCCGCTAGGGGCGGGGCTAGCGCGGCCATCTTGGGGTCAGAGCGTTGCGCAGCTCAGTCTGCATCTAGCCGTGCTAGTGAGAGGTTCGTGCTGTGCTCCGTTCAGATACTGTGACGGTTTGAAATGTCTGCGTTAATTGAAAATCCCGCGAGCTGCGAGGTGCGCTCAGTAATAAGGTTTCTGACTGCAAAAAACTGTAAACCGATAGAAATCTATCGGCAGCTTCGTGAAGTGTATGGGGACAACATTATCACTGAAGGTGGAGTGCGTCAGTGGGTCATAAGGTTTCAAAATGGCCGAACCAATGTTCACGACGAAGATCGAAGTGGGAGACCCAGCATAGTGACCGCCGAACTTCTCGAAAAAGTCGATGCTAAAGTCCGTGAAAATCGAAATTTCACAATAACGGAACTTTCTTTGAGTTTTCCACAAATTTCGCGAAGTTTGTTGCACGAAATCATCAGCGAAAAGCTTGGTTACCACAAGTTTTGTGGTAACCAAGCTGCAAGAAGAGGTAACGAAGTGGTTGAAGGCGCAGGCGGCCGAATTTTCGACGAAGGAATTTCCAAGCTCGTGCATCGCTACGATAAATGCCTTAATTTGTATGGTGACTATGTAGAAAAGTAGTATTTGAGTGTGGCTTTCATCTGTATATAATAAAATTTGTTTCCTATACTTTGTTTATTTTTTTATTCCAAAACGTAATCTACTTTCTGGATAGCCCTCGTAGTATAGTATAGTAATGCAATATCTCAGTATTGATTATGACTGCTGTTATTGCCTATAATCAACATTACAATCTACATTACATAATTACACAAGGTTGTAGATTATAAGCAATTCTTAATTTCTTTCTACTTAAATAACTCTTCTCAGAAGTAATAATATTTTCAGCAATTGTGAGGAAAATTTGCAGTTGTACTACAATATTTGGAACTTAATTTCTAGAGACTGTCTTTCAACATCTCTATTTAATTTTTTTAGCAACATCAGAAATAAACTCTTTTTCTAATTTGTATGTGAATTTAATCACGAAGAATCATGATTTAGTTGGCATTAGTATTTATCATTCAAATGGTTCATTGAATAAGGAAGGCATAGAAAGAATAAGCTGCTCTTGAAATCTGATGATTCTTTTTTGTGTCACTCTATGCAGTGAAAAAGAAATTTCTTTCTTCAACTCAGTTTTGTATAAAATGTTAGTACTATCTCCAGAGTATTCATTTGGCATCAGTTTCTTTTGTCCAGAGATTCATAACTTCTCCAGATAGCCACAACTTGATTTTGTTTGTTCCTAAAGTGTCAACTAAATCCTTCGCATTTTCTGTGGAAAATGTTATTTTAATATTTTTATAGCCCTAAGATTTATGTGATATTCTCATGTATTTAAATGTTGGGTTTGGAAATAGACCTGCATGTCATTCATGTCTGGAAGTATGGGCTCCTGTACTCCTAAAAAAATATGCAACAAACAGTAATATTCACTTGCCATCAGTTTCTTTATTTGCTCAGAGATCATGACTCTTCCACATTACCATAAATTTGTCTTGTGTAGGTTTCTGAATTGTTAACTAATTCCTTCATATTTTCCGTGAAAAATATTTTAAAATTCCTGAGATTTACATGACATTCTCATGTCTTTACACTTCTGGTTTGGAGATAGACCTACATGTATACATGGTTTGGAGATAAACGTATATCGATTTTTGCTCTTGTAGGCTAAGAAAGACCAAGAAGAAAAACACAACAAGCAGTATGCCAGCGTTTTATTTTCATCTTCACTAGTAAATGTTTTACAGTACTAAATATTTTTGCAGAAGCTTTTGTGACTCTCAAATTTTCCAGTGTGCTGGGCTGTATTTCCACTAGATGTCTCTCTAGACCTGAATCAGAATGCCTATCAGAACTGAATTAAAATATCCCATTGATGGGATGAAGAGAAAAGAAACATGAAGTTTTTTTAAAGGTAACATTCTTCGCAGTAACACAAGCTGTATGAACACCTACCAAGTTCAGCAAATTATTCATATGTATGAAAATTTTGGCATTTTCATTAATTAGCTAATGAATTGTGAATTCCTGTATATTAACCCAATATTATAGCTGCATTATCATGTCTTTGTCCTCTATAAATTTGAACAGCACCGATGTTCTTAAAATTTCACAAAATCATAGCTGAAATAATCTGGGCACTTTGTTTTGATAAGTCATTCCTTGGACTTTACTTCCCCCCATCAGTCATAACATAGTATGAAATTAGGTTTATTTGATTCTTAAGATAAATATTATGTGAATATTGAATTTTGTAGAAAATTACTTTGCATTATTCATTTGTTCAATAGCATTTCATCTTACGTTTTCTCCAAATAATAGCCCCAAATTCTTTCTGAATAACACAGAGAAATTGATCTGTCAAAAGAAGGACAGCAGAAAATATGAGGAATCCATCCTTAACTTTTCAAGGTGTCTTGGTTGATTCATACTGTTCCAGCAGAAGAATTTATGCTGTCTTGATTTTATGCTTTTAAATGAAGTCTATCTAGATTTTCATGTATAATTTTCCTATTTTCACCACAACATATTGTTGAGTCCACTGAAATGAGATGCCATGAAAAAAAGTCATGTAATATATTCTCATTAAGAAATAGTCTAAAAATCTTAATGGACTCATTAAAAAGCAAAAAGCCATGATTCAACTTATGAACACATTGTGAATCAACTAATAATTAACTTGCTACAAACACCTAATTCCATATCTTGACAGCCAATATTGTCAAGTTATGGAATTAGATGTTTACAGCAAGTTAATTATGATAATCAATTTCAGATCATCACATGGATCAATCACAAACCATCACATAAATTAATCACTGGATATCACATGGAACAGTGACAAGAAAAAGATACATGTTTTCTTTCCTTAGTATAATTCATCAATGACTGTAAGATAGTTAAAAGATTTCACTGATAAATAAATATATGAATATGTTAGCAAGAATGTTTTCAATGTTTTTTTATATTTCATTTTATATGCAGTTTTATTTGTCATTTTCATATCTGCTTTAAAATTTGATCTAAATCTAGTAATTTTCTTGTTTGAATGTTGAATCTTTTACAATTTAATGACTTAATGTTTTTCAAGTATTAACTTTAAATTTTTAATAACTATATAGCTATATTACATCAGAATAAATGTGCTGTACTTAGTTATTTATAAACTAAAATAATTCTAACATGTGTAAAACGAAATGTAATGTTACTTCTTGTAAACATTATGTCTGAAACTATCATTTATTCTTTTTTAAAATGAATTGTTAATTTTAACATCATTTGTAGGTGATTATTATGTTTTGAATGGCTCAAAATTCTGGATAACAAATTCAGTTGTTGCTGATGTTATTTTAGTGTATGCTAAAACAAACACAGCATCTGATAAACCCCAACACGGAATCAGTACTTTTATTGTAGAAAAGGTAAGAATTATCTGGGTTTTAAGTATTAATAGCTAGTTTTAGGTTATTTGCTCTTGTTTATTAATTGTAGCGTATTGGAGGATTTCCTAATATGAAAACAAGCTCATTTTTTTACAACATCTGGATGATACATTGCTTTTATGACATGTACAATATATTGAAATGTAAATGGTCCATCTGAAGCCATAAAATTTGTTGCCAATCTGTATGCCTTATTATCTTTTAAGTTATAGCAATATAATTCTAGGCATGGGAAGAGCATGTTATTAATAAATACAGCAGTGAAACTGTCCCAAGACCACTCACTGTACTTGGTTTTTTATAAACTAAAGCAAAGTTACCAAATAATTTTGAGCTTTCATGACAGTGCACATGTGAGCCAGACACTGGGGTTCCTTTAATCACTCGGCACAATGGTGGAACGAATGGCATCGGTTGTTGTTTTCAGACAAATCTTGGCTGCTTCCCAGAGAACGTTACCAGACAGCCCATATCGTCGATCACCAGTGTGGCCTCCTTCCAGGGCTTCATGTTTGAATAGTGGACAACCCTTGTGCACATTACTGGCAGTTTAATATCAGGCCAGTATATGTAACACAAGTTGTTATGTATGTGGTTCAGCCACTTGTGCAGCCCAAGCCCCACCATGTTATTCCAGCATAGCAATGCCAGACCTTATGTCGCACATCACACTGTGAACAGCCTCAATGGAATTTACATCTTTAACTGGACAGCATTCTCATCCGATCTCTCTCCCATTGAGCATTTGTGGGCTGCCATTGGACGTGTGGTGCAAAGAACACTGCAAGTGTATACTGTAGAGGAACTGAGAGCTGAAGTGGACTTGGCTTGGAAAGAAATATATCAGGAGACCAGACATAGCCTTATAAACAGTATATCTTGCCATTTAGGGGCCCATATAGATGTCCATGATGGCTACATTAGATACTGAATAAACTGTTTAACTTTTTTATATCTTTGTTTGTTTCTTCAATCATCTGCATGTGTATCTTACCTCTAACGATCTTGTTATTTTCCCATTGCTATGTGTGTTCCTTCATGGTATTGCAATTTTATTTTTGATAAGTGTAGATTTAAAATGATGATCTCATATACAGAAAAATCTATAATGCAGAATTGCCAAAGTCCTGACAAGTCTGGATCTTTGAATTTATACTGTAGTACTTTATCCCCAGTAAATTTACTGTTTGAGATTTGGAATATCTCATGGTATACGTTTTTCATAATTTTTTCGATACGAATGCAGGATTCGTAGCGGTCCTTACAAGTGCTTATAAGTCCTTATATTTGAAAATAAGATATAAAAGCCCTTATAGGTGCTTACTTTTTCTCTAAAGCACTTGTTTTTTTGTTTTTAGTGCTTATTTTTTGCTTTGAGTGCTTTTTTTTTAACGAACGCACATTTTCCCCCCGTACCAAAGCCGAAACTAAATAAGCACTTATTCTTCCTTATATGGAACATCAGATGGTGAATCATACTCCCTGAAATAGCTTTTCGCTCCCTTTCTCTTGCATTAACATAACCCTTTGGCAAAGAACGTCTATGTATTAATGTATTCAACAATGTCTATGTATGAACAATATAGATTGATTTTGTACATAAACATGTTTCTCCTCTCGTGTTGTTTTTTATGCGTTCCTGCCTTAACCCGTCACTTTAGGCCCGTACAGGGTTCCTATAGCGCCCAGGAACAATTGCATGTTTTAGTACACTCCCCACCCCTCCAAGTTTGTCCCATGATCTGTGAAACACACTGTATATTTAAGACACAATAACACGCCGAATAAACACTAATTCAGAAGTCAAACAACAAAAATCAGCGTTATATTTACAAAATTACTATACACTGTATATTCTTTGCTTTTGGTGCATGCGAGTATAGACAGGTGCATGTCGTTCTATTGGTCAAAGAATTGCGAAAGCTGTAGGAAATTCCGATGCATTCCATATTCTTTTGGTCTCGCCCAATACTACACACGTTTGAATTTCTATCAAGATTTTAATAATTTACATTCTCGTTCTGCGTGGTCAGTTCATATTCGCGTTTATTATGATCAGCTTATATTATGAGCACATGTATGAATATTTATAATAATATATTTGCAGTAACTGAAGTATAGATAAACTTCAAAAATGGGTGTGTTTTAACACAGATTAGTTTTGTAAGGAATAATATTCGGAATGGCATAAATAAAGTAATCGAATAGTCTTTTTTTAAATTTATTATTATTATTTTTTTGGCCAATGCATTATACAGTACGGAAGTTGGAGGTTCTTCCCTTTCTCCGCAAAATCTCGAATATTGAAAGAATTACAGCTCACAGCAAAGCAAGCAATGGACTTTCTTGGGGGTTGTAACTTTCTATCTGGATTTTGAATAGGACTAAAAGTTCTGTGGTCTACCAACCCAAGCAAAGAATGATTCTATTCCAGAAATTTAACGCAGTCTGTTCAAAATTAAAATGAAAAACATCCCAGATTGGTAAATCTCTTTATTAATCAATACGACTATGGCAGGGATATAGCGCAACGTGTCCTGCTCAATGATGAATATGCCACATGGGCACCTGACGGTGAAAAGCGGACGAAGCAAAGGGACGTTTTCCTTTATTTAAATTATTTATTCTCCGAATACTGACACCTGTTGATTCCGATTGCATAATATCACGTGAGGAAGAATTAAGGCACACGTATTGCACATTAACGTTTGCGATATTTCCCAGAGATAAAAGAGTTTTACTGTGCTTGCTAAGCAGATTATTTTTCAGTTCCATTGGCCTATTTTTTATATAATGCACATATTGGAATGACAAAAGCATTATTTAGCTGCAAAATCTAAAGAATGGTTATAATCTACCCCCTTCCACTTTTACCACTTACACTCTGCTATCCGGAATTTCAGATATTTGGCAATTTCCGAGTATGCCAGTTAGTTAAGCTTTTACTGTTAAAGGATGACTGCATGAAGCAATTTGCCGTCTTCTGATTTCATATATTAAATATGGGTTATTATTATTTATTTTTTTCTATTTTGAATTGAAATTTCATCATTAAATCTTGTAATATAATTTAGTTCTGCATAGTTTTTTTTTCTGTCATTGTAAACTAGTTCTGTAAATTGAATTGTTACTTAAAATTTAAAAAAAGAATGTTATTGTTTTCCATGGATGAATAATGCTCATTCTCTCTTAATAAATACTGAATTTCTCATATTTTAAATTACAAGTCTAATTTTTCCTGTAAGGTTATGCAGTATGATGTAATTAGACAGGTGCTTATTTTTTTTTCTTAAAATGTGCTTTAAAGTTCTCATAGGTGCTTATTTTTTTAACTAAAATGTGGCTACGAACTCTGGAATGTTTGGTGCTGTACTCAATCTGTTGAGCACTGAGTAGTGCAAAGTGGCTCAGTAAACACCTGAGGTGCTTGTTAGAATATTTTAATTCAATTGATTGTATGTGCTTTGAACATGCATTCCAAAGTAGAAATGTTCTCTGCTATGTTAAATCATTAAAAAAAAAATGACCAACAGAAATTTAGTAATAAGGAAAGAAAAATTAAAAAAATAAAATGAAGAAGCTTAGGGGAAATGAAATTTCTAGTATTTAAGCAAAGTGTACCAATATGGTGCAAGAAAATTGCATGGTGTGCTTTTAACAGTATTGAACAGTAAGAGTACAGTATGAACATGAACTACAAAATTTCTGTGTTGTGTGCATTAAAAAAATGAAAGCTAGTGAAAATAATAAAAAAGTGATGTAACATATAGGTTATTTTTCTGTATTTTTCTTTCTTTTAATTTTTAATAAAATGTTAAAAATTTATTTTTACTGGAAGCCAATGGTCATTATTTATGTTTAAAATGAGAAGCAAAACTGGTGATTTTTGTTTCAAAGAAATTCAGATCTTAGAGTATAAAATATGATATTTTTATAATTTTTGTATCATGTATATATGTGATTAACTTTTTGATGTTTGATTATTTTTTTGGTTATTTATAAAATATGCTTTGATATTTTTTATAGGCTTGCACATTTGAAACGACTTGTGTAGCAGTTTGTATAATAAATTTTTCGTTAAGCTAGAATCAGAAGATTAGTTTTTTTTAAACTGAGTCATTTTTTAAACAGCTTTTGTAAAGAAATATTGAATTGAACTGTTAAAAGTTGAATATAATTTTTCAGGTATACATGGTTTTAAATTAACCAATGCTATATTTTTAGGGTATGCCAGGTTTTAAAGTTGGTAAAGCACTTGATAAACTTGGCATGCGGGGATCACCAACTGCTGAATTAATCTTTGAAGACTGCAAAGTGCCAGGTAAATAATTAGTTTCATCTGTTTAAAGCAATAAATGAACATCTTTTATTTTGTTAAATAGTTTTAAACAGATTTAAAAATTTTTTTTCTTATATTTAACTGCTTTATCAAAAACAATCTGTACATTTAATAATGATTTACTATATTTTTGTTGCATTTTTGTACCCTATTTGTTATGATTTGTTAAATAGTTTATTGCTTAATTTTGTTTTTGTTATATTTTAGTTTTGTATTTTTGTATAATTTATTTCCAGAATTTTAAAATAAATCTTTTTTCTCTAATGTTGAAACATTTTATACTTTTTTGACATTATGTGGAAGATAATCAGGCCTATGTATTTTCTTTTTTTTTTTTTTTTTTTTGTATGTCAAATGCTGCAAAATTAATTAACCATTCAATTTATTAATTTGTAAAATTAATTAATTAGCTGCAAAATTAATTAATTCATAATTAGTAATTTAAAAAGACCTAATTGGTGTCGCAGGGAATAAAAATAGTTCAGTTTTCAAAAATCTAATTTTTATTATTTATACTTTGAGCTAAATATGGAGTTATTTGAGCAGTTTTCCCTTTTTATTATAGTGTATTTAAATTTCTAAGTATAATTTCACTATATACACCATTCATTATTTTTCAATTTCATTACTATTTATTACATATGAGAATTTCTCAAGTAGAATCCTGTAATTTGTTTTGAAATTTTTTTTCCTCAAATTTTGCATTTCTTTGAATGTGCTAAATCTAAAAGCGTTGTTTAATTTCCATGACAATTAAAAGCGAAGACATTTTTATAGCCACAATAAAAGTTTCACTCTCTGGCATTCAACTAACTGGAATATTTTAGAACTTTAGAAAAAAATTCTTCCCCCCCCAAAAAAAATTAGTAAATGAGAGATTTGTAATACATTAAAGAGCTTGTAATACTACAACATGTGTACATTGTCATCAAACAGTGTGATTTAGTGCCAGTAATGGATGAACATGACATCCCAACACAATGATAAGAAGTTTGTTTTGGTTTAATGCAAATTTGTTATTTCTCAATAACTGATTTAATTCTTGTAAAGAAGGATATAATTTCTCTTTTTTTCTGTACATTTGAAAAAATGATTAATATTTGAGACTGCATGAGCTGGAGTATTTTTGAAGTTATGAGATTTGGACATGTAAAAAAGCCATGATATTTAATTTTATAAAAGGATAAACAATAGGGACAAAAAATTATGATAAGCAATTTAAGATTTTTATATCCTATATTCACAATTTGTCTCTCTCTTTATTATCTAATGAAATAAAGAGCCATTTGTTTATTTTAAATTTTGCTGGAATTATTTACGATATCTTCCCCAGCTTTCTTAGGCAAAATCAGAATCAAATATTTCAAATCAGATATTTTACTTTAATGTTTGAGATCTATGGCATACATTGTCTGTTATTTATAATTTTAAATGTAAGCTTTTGATATTCCTGTTGGTAACAAATAAGATGGTTGTTCCCATTTAGAGTTGAAATTTTTCTATTGATTTGGCTTTTCTAATGTGAATTCCATTTTTTATATGCTAAACTATATGTAATTTTTACATATCCAGAATTCAGCATTTTCTGAGCCTTCCAGGTAGTCAAGATTTTCCTGTACTTAACTGACTGAAAGTAGTTTTTTTTTTCCAATTCAACTTATAATTTTAAGTGAATTATTTCGTAAGTGAAGAAAATTGCTTAGAATTAGCTTTATTATGACATTTCTTGTTTTAATATAAAATATGCCTTCCTTATTGGTGCAATAAATTTCATTCATAAATTACTATAATTAAAAAAGTATCAGTTTTAGTCATCAGTTGAAAGTGTAAATGTAACTTATTTTTATATAAAATTTTAATTTATTATTAGTGTAGTAATTGCCTAATATTTTTTTATGTTTGAAATATGTATTTTGTCATCTTGTTTTTATTTGGTTGTATAATTAAAAAAAAATTAGTTTCGAAGTTCATGCTGAATGTATTTCAAATTGTTTTTATAAATATGTTGATGAATGGTAGGAGGGACATGAAACACATTAAAAAGCGTGATAGATAGTGTTTCTGATCTTGAGTTTATGCATATGCTGGAAAGAATTTTGCTTATAGATATTTCTTTAGAACAGATTTTTAAGTAGGAAAAATTCACAGTCATAAGCGATGTCAAAAAAGGTTTTGAGTATTTTATCAACCAGAATTGTATTTAGATCACAATTCTGAACTTAATTTTGAAATTAAGGTTGGAAAAAAAAAAAAGAAAATTGATTATGACAAATCCCCAAAACTGTATTTCAGAATGTGTATTATTTTTATAGTGTTGCTTAGAAGTTTTTTTTTTTGATATTATGTTTTGAGATTTTATTTAATATAAATTAGCTATTTCTGACTAACACATACTCTGCAATGTGTATTTTAATAGCATGAATTGGTTCAGAGAACAAACATATGTATTTTTATAAAATTCAACTTGAATATTCAGAGCTTGCATAAGGAAAAGGCCTCAAAAGTATTCTGTTAAGTCCAGCTGAGTATCAAGTTGAATTTTTATTACTTTAACAACTTTGCAATTAAATATATGAATCATTCCTGTTATTATAAAGTATAACTTGAATTTTGGGTTGACAATCGGTTTGAATATTTTTCTTTTTTTCACTGCATAGCTGAAAACTTAGTTTCTGCTGAAAACAAAGGAGTTTATGTTTTAATGAGTGGATTAGATTATGAAAGATTAGTTCTAGCTGCAGGACCTGTTGGGTAAAATGTTTGCATTAGTTATAACTTTATTGAAGTGAGTTCAGATTGATCTGTTTGTGTTTGTATTCACTTGAAGGTCTGTTATTATTTTATCTTCTTTCATTAATTCATAAAATTGATACTGGGAAGGCTGAAATTAGAAATGTCTGTAAACTGGATGATTTTGTTTTCTTTTCTTTTAATTTGCTAATTCTTATCTACTAAAATCAGAAAGGCATCAGATTAAAAAAAAGTTCAGTTGCAGTCAAGTTATTCATATGCTGTTTTAAGTAAAAAATGAATATTTTTAAATAATAATAGTTTTTAAGATATTTTTGGGTGCATGTTATATGCAAGGTAGGAAAAAAATAAGCTGCTCAAATTCTAACATGAATAGTTAGTTTTAAATTTCTTTTTTCTTTGTTCATTTAGTAATAGAATATTGAAAAAAAAAATAATTATTTAGGGGAAAAAGGACAATTAAGTCATTTTCAGTGTTCAACTTTTTTTTTCTATCATTAGATGTATGTTTATCCAATCAGTCTTTGATATGGTTACAAAGCTGTTGTGAAGATATACATGTATCTTGTATGATTTGGTATATTCATGTTTTCTCTGTTATTCATTCTTTATTGCTTCAGTTTACCTATGGACTAAGATAGATTATGATTTTTTGGCTGTTTTAACTATTATTCTTTTCTGTCACTTTTTGTCAGGTAAGCTCTGTCTGTATTTTTGTCACTTGTATATTTGTCTTATGCATCAGCAATTTTGATGAATGCCTTTATGTGACTGTCAACAACTAATTATAAATCAAAAAGCAGTGTCAAAAAATGATAATGCAAAGTGAGTAGGCTTAGAATTAACACTTTTCTAAATTCTATTAACTAGTATATTGCTTGTGAATAGCTTTTATTTCCTTTATTTTACAAGCTTTGTGATCAGGATGCTACTTGATGCAAGAATAAGTGCATATTGTTTTATTACAGAGAATATGCCAAAATTAATTTTTATTTATTGCCAAAATTAATTTTCATTTATTTATCTTCTCTCCTTTTTGATACGGTGTATCATATTTATACTACATAAGCTACCTTGTCATACAACCTAAACTATCTGTAGTATAATACATTTTTCTGATTTTCTGCAATTCTTATTTATTTTCATTTTTTTTAATTCTAGATTATTTGTATAAAGGTTAATCATTTTATCTTTCATTTATAATTAGCATTTTGTCAATGTAATTCTAAATTTATTGATGAACACATATTATATGCTATATAATAGATGGTTTAAGATACTGAAATTTAAAATATCTTATGCAAATTAAAGAAATTTTATTCTGAAATATCTAAATTATGATCCTTTGACTCACTACATTTCAGACAGAGTTTTTGTCAGATGAGTAAAAGAATGATTAATTTAAAATATTTTCTGCTTGTCATGAAAGTTGAAAATAATCTGAATGCAAATGTTCTTCATTGCACTTAAAATTCTTCTCGCACTTCAGAGACTTCAGATATAATGCAAGACTCCATGTAATGGGATCAGGATTATGTTAAACTACCGAGCCTTTGTAATCATTAGCTAATGTATTAGGAAAGTGATATAACTGGTTTGACAAAATGCAAGATTTATATATTATAATCCCCCTTTGCTCTTCTTTTACATTACAAATTCTCCCCAACTTTTTTATGCAAAATTTAATACTAATGACTTTTCCAATCTTCTAGAACTAATTAAAATAATTACAAAATCAAGTTTTTCATGTATTAAAAGCAAACTTCCTGATATGGAAAATTTCACTGATTTTAATCAAAAAATAGATAAAAGTCTCAGAAGAGATTAATGGGTTAATTAATAGTAAGAAAATTCATGCCTAGTCATTTTAAAATTGTAATATGAAACAAAAAAGCCATCTTCCACATGCATCATGAATTGTAGGAGTTCATAGATGAATGTAGTTCCAATGTTATTCTTATTCAAGAACACATGCTGGGCCCAAACATTAAATTTAGCATTTTCAATTATATTCTTTATCTACTGGTTCATATATATGTTACAAGATACCTTATCTTAATTAAGCACTACATCTTCTATAACCATATAACAATAACACAGTTTTTAACAGTCAAAACTCTAGCTATTAGGATTGTACTACACACTTCTCAACCAATCATGATTGTTTCTACCTATATTCCACATAACAGAAGAGCACATAAGGATGTAGCCTCTGATTTTCAAGCTGGTTTGTCCCAGCTTGACTACTGAATTATTCTAGGTAGAGACTTTAATGCACTTCACTGATAGTCGAACTGTGTTAACAGCACATACCTTGGTAATATAATTCACCTATTTGCCTTATTAGCCAGAATTGCAAATATGGCTGCACAAACACTGACATATTATGGCGATAGTTCAGCTTCAGTCATCGTCTTGTTTCTTACATATTATGTGACCCACTCTGATGTTGAGATATTGGATATTATCCTCTAATCTCAAACCTGTGGTTATTAATTTTGATCTTGCATGCCATAACACATGACACAAAAGGGTCTTTATTACAAACAGGTCTGCATGTACCAAAGCCGAAAACAATGTACAGAACTCAACATGACCAGTTCAAGATGGGAATGAGTTAGGTGCTTACTGATCTCATCACTTAAATGAAATTTGCTATTGAGAAAAATAGAAAGCCTGTCACTGACAGAACTAAGTGTAGAAATTCTGAGATCCAGAATCTGATTAAGAAAAGAAATGTTGCCTGGAAGGAATGGCAATAAAAATATCCTGCCAACAAAATGATGTTAAATAAGTTAAATCATGAAGTCAGGATTCTTACCTGTAAACAAGTGCAGAATGACTGGCCTAGTTACCTGGATTCACTTTCCCTAAAAGATAACTCCATCTGGGGTTGCTGATATGATTACAAATTTTATTTACAATAATAACACGATTAACATTCCATCAAAACTAGAAGAGAAACACGCTAATGTGACAATCAAAATCGTAAAAAACAACCTTGTATTTAGCGTAGGTATAATGAAACACTCAATCGATTTCAAGGGCAGCTAAAGGTCCCTCCTCATCAGGAGAAAGAAATACATAGAAAGAAGAAGAAAATAGGAGAAGGAGTCACAGAAACACGTCCTTATCAGCACTGCACGTGGTTATAACTAGATTTTTAATTTTGATCTTGTTTCACTGGCCGCCTACTTTTACTGAGCCAGGCTATCTGATCAAGCATAAAGAAATATTAGCGAAGTTAAAATAAGGAGCGAGGGGCAAATGCACCTTACACTCAAAATCTGAACTTCAAATAATGGAAAGCAACCACTGAACGCATTTTTATACCCTCTAGTAGTACCAAACGCGAGGAGGTTAACGCCATCTATCGGCAAAAATAACTGAATTAAGATAGTAGAATTTTAAAGGCATTAGGAAGGACTGGATTGGACTTCAAATCATTAACTAAACTTGCTAAATCTTTGTGAATGTGAAAAGCCTCAAGAAAATCCAATTCACCTGTGGAAGAAGCCTTTTGGATGATTTTTGCAGACCCAAAACCAAAATTATGGTTAAAAGTCCAACTATGATACGCTATTGAAGACTTGTTAATTTCGCCTTTTTTGACATAAGATTCAGTTCCTTGATACGAAAACTTCAACGCTCTTTTGTTTGGCCAATATATCTTAAACCACACTGACACGTACTACTATAAAATTCCCCAAGAATTCAAGACAGAAACGCAATCTTTTAGAATTGAAGGGTGAATTTATTAAAGGGGAGAAACCGACTTGAAAATTGAATTTCTGGAGAATCTGTGCAATTTTATAGCCAACAGAAGGATAAAATGGAAGCACGACAAGGTCATTAATATTATTTCTAACAGTGGAATGTCTTCTTTTGAGGGAATCTGAAAAATTTTTTAACGGCTTTATCAATAATCACGGGAGAAAATCCATATGGTCAATCGCAACTGCTTCAAATTAAGTTCATTGGTAAGCAAAGATTCAGATTAACAAACTTTAAGCGCGCGGAAAACATAATAGTAAAAAGAAGCCAGTTTTTGCTTAACCAGGGTGGCATGACTTGGCATGGGGTGATAAACCAAACCTGCAGAGGGTTTACGGTACACAGTGAAGCTAAAATCGGTTTCATTGCGGATTATAAGAATATTGGAGGAAGGGAGGGAATTTTGGATTCAATTTCAGAGTGAATTGGATGGCTGGATCAATTGAATTCATAATAGATAGAATATAAATCCTCTTTTATAACCATCAAAAAGTGCGAAGTGTCGTCAACATACCGAATCCAAAGACGAAAAGATAATTTCATCTCAATAATTTAATAAATAGTGCATATAAACGTCAGAAGCTACCAACCTTGACTTGACGAAAATATTCATTTTGGAAAACAAAGTGGGTTTGACTAATAGAAACTTTAGTAAGCGAAACTCTGATTAAAAATCTAGTTATAACCACGTGCAGTGCTGATAAGGACCACGTGTTTCTGTGACTCCTTCTCCTATTTTCTTCTTTCTATGTATTTCTTTCTCCTGATGAGGAGGGACCTTTAGCTGCCCTTGAAATCGATTGAGTGTTTCATTATACCTACGCTAAATATAAGGTCGTTTTTTACGATTTTGATTAACATTCCATCAGCCTGGCCAATTGAAGTTCTTATTCACTTCATTAAATTGAAGATATAAAAAAGAGTCTTGAATTGATGCTATATAAATAGAATGCTATAAAAATAGATGTTATAAAAATAAAATGGTTACAAACATGAGAATAGTTATGATATTCAAATTGGTTTAAATTACAATTCTTATACTCAAGACTGGTTATTTCCCATCAGCCTGGAAGACTGCAATTATTTAACTATAACTCAAGCCTGTAAAATTCTCAGTGACCCAGTTTTCTATCGAAATATCAGTTTACTGTCAGCATTAAGTAAAATGCTTGAACACATGATCCTCAACTGCCTGCTGTAATTTGTCAAAGAAAATCCTAATATCTGAACAGTTTCAGTTTTACAAGAAGCATTCAATTAGTCATTAGTTATATAAGGACACTGAGGTGATTTCCTACAGACTGCAAACTCACAATTCTGGTCATATTCTCAGATGCTGCTAAAGCTTTTGATCATGGCTGGCTGGAGGGTCTCATAACCAATCTAATCATTATGGAGATCTCAGAATACATCACAAACATCATCTGCAAAATACACACTTTTTCATTCATGCGAATAACACTTATTCTACATGCCACCTAATTCTGGCCAGTGTACCATAAGGATCGTTACTTGGTCGAATTTTATTTTATCTGTGCATGAATAACATCTTTTCCATAATTAGCGCTTGCTGTGTGTGCAGATGACAAACAGTTCTCAGTATCTCTTAGCTCACTCAAACAAACACTGCAAACAAACGTCCATGCACCAGAGTCTTGGTTTCAAGCTTGGAAAATTTAGATCAGTGCCGATAAATCTGATGCTATTCCATGTATCAAGAAGAGAGAAAATGAAGTTGACCTTCAGATTTATATATACAACACTCAGTTCTCTGATCTAAGCAAGTCTCATATTTAGGTGTTATATTAGAATACTACCTCTCATGGAAGCCCCGTGTTTCACATATTATATCCAAGTACTGAGCGAGCAAAGCTACACTTTGCTCTTTAATTGCTCGGAACAATGTTTTATCTATTTATATTAAATTACTCTTCTAAGTTCACCAAAATACCTTTTTTGATAGGCCACATGCTGCAGGTGGTTTATTCAAAATGAGGCTCTGCATCGAAATTTCAAATGCAATATCGAAATTTCAAATATCAAAGTTTTCATGAAACATATTGATAAAACATGTTATAGAAAAATTCATAAAGTGAAAAATTGCCCTATTTCAATTGTGAATTACGATTACAATCACACCAGATTTAGGAGAAGGCCTTATTCAACATTGTGGCATTAATTTTCTGTTTTTTAATTGCTTTTGGGATTTGTATCTGATTTGTTTAGTTGTATCTTATTTTGTTTTTATTCTTCATCTACCATATATTTTTACTTGTTCCTATTTTAAATTAGTATGGCTTTGAGCTGAGATTTCCCCTTTCTTTACATTCCAAATTCTTGCACCAGTGACTTGCCTTCTAAATTACACTGCTCTGACTAGTTACCTGCTTGTCTCCTCACAGCATATCAGCCCAGCAGTGGCAGTCATGTGACTGAAACTCTAACTGATGACTTTGTCATTCCACTCCTCCTTATACAGATGAGCCTTGGACAAGATATGCATTGCCTGGGTCTCTGCTATATCTCATCTATGCTGACAATAAATGCTTATCACACCTCATCTTATTATTAAAACTTTCCACAACTCTGTGCAACTTCTTCACCACACAATAGACTGAAAAATCTGTGAACTTTTTTATGGTAGACAAACATTGACTGAAAAATCTTCATCATTTCTGTGTGGATACGCTGTTCCATTGTCATTACACTTGTATGGTACATCTACATGGGAACCCATATTTGCAAACTGAGTCATCTTTAGGAGGTTTCACTGTATTATAGTTTATAAGATATTTATTGATACAATGAAAAGAAATACTTGCTGAAATTTCACAAGAAAGTGATTAATATATTTAAAAATGGACATTTCTGTTTTGGGTTGGTATAGTGATTGTAAGTATCATTTTTTGGAACTATCTGTGAGTCTTTAGATTAATAGCTATGAGCCAAAACTTCTTATTAGTATTTAATAATTGCTGGGTAATTTATTGGAAGTTTCTTTTTATTTTTAAAAAGCTGGTAAATAGTTCTAAAATCATACTCTACTATAAAAATATGACAGCTAAAATTTCAAATTAAGTTATGAGTCCAAATGGAAAGTATTCCACATTGCATCTATTATTTGATCAACTATTTTACTTAAATAAATGCAGTTAAAAAATAAATGTAGTTGAATGAAAATTTTTATGTTGTTACAAGTTTGCACATAAAAATGATCTTTTTCTGCCATCCTTATAATATTTATGCATGTGATGTGTTAACTGAAAAATATGCAAGTGTACAAATTTTGTAAATTTACCTTCTTTTATAATTAAACAAATTTTGGTTACAACCTGTAATTGTTATGTGTAAATTGATGTACGAGCAAAAAAATATATGTTTTAAAAAGGAATATCCAAAAAGGATAACAAATAAATAAGCTTGGAAGTAACACTCATATAAATTATACAAATTAGTTTACTACTAGTGAATTAGTTATTAGCTCTTAATACAAATAAATAGGAATTTTTCAGAATATTTCAATTCATTATTAGAAATCTATTTTAATATTTAAAATTTTTTATTCTAGAATAATGCAAGCATGTTGTGATGTAACGTTTGATTATGTGCACCAGCGAAAACAGTTTGGGCAAAGAATTGGTGAATTTCAGGTTTTGTGAGAGTGGTTTAGTTATAGTCTTTCTATATATATATGTGTATTTTTTAAATTAAAAGAAATAATTTAAAACTTTCTAATAAACATTTCATTTCTTGCATAGTTGATACAAGGAAAGCTGGCTGATATGTATACTACTTTAAATGCATGTAGATCATATTTGTATAATACTGCAAAAGCAACTGACAAAGGACATGCAAGTTCCAAGGTAATGTAGTTGTTTTATTTGAAACTAGTAAAAACAAAATTTCTTTTTTGTTGACCATATAGTGAATGCAAATTCACTATAATACCAGTTAGAATATTTTCTTCTTAAAATAATTTTAATATTGCTTTCACCAGAATGTGTACAAAATATGTAGTGGAAATCAATCATATTTCAAAATTCAGGCCCGAGCTTTTCATCTAGAATTACCAAGATTCTAGCTGAAGAGTACAAATGTTGTCTTTCATGATTTCTGACTAATGCTACTGTTGAATGACAAAATTGACAATTTGCTGTTTTTTTCATAGCTGTATTAGTTTTAGCATATAATAACTTATGTTGAAAACAGTTTTTAAGATATTGTTTGTTAATTTTGAGAATGAGACATTTGAATAAAAATAATACATTTCAAGGATATAGTATCAAAGGCAAATTTAATGGGAATAGATATCTTTTGTTCTGTGCTATGTTACAGAACATTTTATAGGATAATGGGTATTACATTAAAAAATTTCAAATTCAAAGGAAAAAAAATTTCAAAATTTTAATTTGACAGCAAAATTAAATATTTTTCTGGTCATTTTTATACATATCTAATGACATTGGTTGGGTATTAGGGAGTGGTTGTCTTAGATAATAATATCATTATTAATACTAATTGATGTGAATTTATGTTTACAAAATAATGATGACTTTCTGAGGTCATGAACCTCAAGAAAGGTTTCATTTTAATATATTTTAAATTTTCAGTGCCTCATATATTTTTTTTAAAGTTTCTTCCTTTATATAAGGTATTTTTTTAAGTTTCTTTCTTTATATAAGGTATGTTTAAATTTCTTTGTGCAAGTATTTTATTAAATAAAATTATTTTAAAAAATACTGTTTTTGTATTATTGTCTGGTTTTCCCATTCAGTGTTTGTAATTTTGGTACTGTTATTATGATCATCTGATGTAGATTTTCCACTTTAGCCTGAATTGAAACACACTGTATTAACACATTGTAGACACTCACATATTTATAGAATTGCAAATGCTTGATCTATGATATCAAGGAATGTTATTTTTTAAATTTGCAATATCTTAAATCTATTTTCAGCATTGCAATATAATTAGTACTGATATTTTGAAACTGACTGTAGAAATGATTTCAAACTAATATTTCACTGATTGAATGCACAATTTTTCTTTAATATCTTTGTTACTGATTTTGCATTCCATATTTTTTAATAACTATGTGGTTTCTTCCTATCATTTGCAAACAATTATTTTTGCATATTAATTTGATTCAAAATATTAAATATTAATGTAGTGTTTCATAAATTTTCTTATAAGTTTTTCTTTCAGGATTCCATGCTTCCATTTTGTATTATTTTTTATATTGTGTTTTTGTTTATTTGAAATAAATTTATTCATTATGTTATTTTTCTGTAGTAGTAATTGTGGATTTATATAGTAGTGCCATTTTATTTTGAACATATTTTAATAGCAGTTTGCAACATTCCACAAAGGAATTACTTTAACAGATTTAACTGATATAATTTCTACATCAAAGTTGTCAGAAAGTTTTAACTTAATAGATAATCAGGATTGTTGAGTAGTTACAGCGGTATTCCAGGCTCAATACATCAGTCCAACAGGCTATCTGTAAGGTATTTTATATTAACAGTAAAATAAATTCAATGTTTTTTTCAGAAAAGTTACCATGAAGTTTGACATTGAATGCTTTGACATTATTCCCTGTCCCCAAACCAAATATATTTATGTATGTGTGTTATTTAAAAGTATTAGCAGAATTTATATTTTGATGAGTAAATAATTATTTCTCAACAATTAAAATATTTTGTTAAGCTGTAAGAGTAAATATGCTTTTCTAATCCTTTATCATTAGGACTGTGCTGGTGTGATCTTGTATTGTGCTGAAAAGGCAACTCAGATGGCTTTAGATGCTATACAGTGCTTAGGTAAAATTTTACTAAATCCTTTAATATTTTTTTGTAGTTTGTGAATTATTTATAGAAACTTAGTCATGTGTAATTTATTTATGTATTTCGTTTACAAGTTTTACTCAAACTGTAGGCCAAATAACTAGTATGTAAATACTTTTCTTCTATTTTTTATTAAATAAAGATAATTTCTTTATAGGAGGAAATGGATATATTAATGATTATCCTACTGGCCGCTTATTAAGAGATGCTAAATTATATGAAATTGGTGCTGGAACAAGTGAAATCAGACGACTGGTTATTGGTAGATCTTTGAATAAAGAATATCAATAGTATTTTGTACCATGGGTAAGACGTTTACTTGAAGTAGATATTTACAAAATTCTAGTGTTATGTCTGATCACGTTTCTTCAATTTGAAATGTATTTTTGTTATCCAAAATATGCTTCATTGTCTTGTCTTCTTAAAGTATTGTTTTAAGTGTATTTAAGTGAAAAATATTCAGTATAAAAGCTTTTCTTATTCTGTACAAGAATTTATTTACTGTGTTGCACAAAAATGGAAAGTCAACTAGTATCAAAATATGTAATTTTTTAATACTAGTATCAAAATATGTAATTTTTTAATACTATAGTTTCTAGTATACTTCCTTTTTATTTATAAATATTATTATTTCAGTTGTAAATATTGGAAGTGAAAGAAACGATCTGTGGAAGCTCAATAAAATGTGTAAGTGTTGTTAATTCAATGCAAAATCATATCTCTGCTTGTCAGTTGCATAGTTATATTAATCTATTTAAAGCAAAATCTAAACATGATCATAACAAAATGTAAGTATTTGCTATTTATAACAAATTTTTCTTTCGGGCAAGGAAAGACTAGTTACTGAGGGGAAGTGTATTTGCGAATTAAATGTTATAATAATAGCTTATCTTCAATATGTTTGTTTTATTGTTAAAAAGTATTGATTTCTTAAAAAGCGTACATAAATAATATGCACCATATCCATAAAAACCTTTACGTGACTTTTACTTTCCCAAACATTGGTCGTAGACATTTTGGTCGTACTTTCTTTGGGGGACACACACAAAAAAAAAAAAAAAAAAAAAAAAAAAAAAAAAAGTTTTAAATAATGCAAAAAATGTTTTCATTTTTTTTTAAATTAACAAAAATTTATTTAAAATATAAAATCAAACATTTTGCACATTTCTGTAGTCCCCATACTTATATTTATTTAGGAACGTTTGTATGCATTAAAAAAATTTAAACACAGAAAGTCTGACTCCTTATGGCAAAAATTGATCAAGATAATTAATTTTAAAATTTGCAGTATTTGACATTTTGAATTTGCTTAAGTCAGTTAAAAAATAAATAAGTTAATTTTTTTCCTGTTAAAAGTCATTCAATGGTTTTCTTTTATAATTTACTAGTATCTTTATTTATAATTTTTCTACTCTGAGTATGCCAAAAGAATTTTTTGACAAGTAATTTATAAGTTTTCAAAGTATAAAAATATATTATGAATATTCTCATTTAGTTTTATTACTTTTATATATAATTTGGAAATAATCTAGTAATAAAAAACATAAGTTACAAATATTTTTTATTTTTAATTAATGCACATAATATTACCAGTTGGCTATGTTCCTGCCAGTGTTTCCTGAAACATGAGTTCTTTAAGATTCTGTGAATAAGATCTCCCTTTGGTGTGGGTGCATTTATATTTATCTGTACTTTTCATAGTGATCTGCATACTTTGGGAAGGAATAATATGATGCTTAAGGAAATGTGCATAAGAATGCAAAAGTAAATGTGCCATAGATCTATTTGTTTCCTCCAATCAGACATTTCTCCCCTCCTCCCAATATCATTATTCATGATAATAATGAAACCTGTATATTGTATCGGGTTTAAACACCTGCCAGCTAAGGAATTCATTCTTCAATGGTTGTAGGGAGGGAACAGCATTTTTCTATTTTATCTAGCCCTATGCTCAATAAGAGAAACCTGAAGATTAATGTTTGTTTCGAGTGAAATGCTGCCCATACTGGATTCTTTTTGTTTGCTTAAGCAGAGGAGGGGATAAATAATTATAACCTGATTATTTAAGATTAACTTAAACTCAGCTAGCACTAGGAATAGTGCTTTTCCTGCTTGTGTCGAATGAAAAGAGAGTGACAGCACGCGATAGCGCGCTTTGACTTTGTGTCAGATAAAAGAATGTCTGGAACAACAAAAGGAAAATATGAGGAATCAAGATGGTAGAATGAGATATTTCACTTAGCCGCCATCAGTCAGCGAAGAAAGATGAAATGAATGAAAATAGACCAGCACTGTGGGGGGGGGCAAATGTTGGATCAGTAAGGTAATAGGTACTTCAAATAATTACAAACTGTTAAGTTAGAATATCCGAAGGACATTTGTGTTTCACTCTGGGAAAAGGTGAGCATCGCAAAGAGCTGATACAGCTGTTTGGATGTAATAGTACAGAAAGGAAAAAATTTGTTGCAAGTTTTTTGATATAATTTTGTATAGTATCAATTTGAAGATCTCTGTGAATATATGAATTTGGATGAACCAGGGTGCATTAATAATTTCACAAAGGGTTTTATTTTGAATAACTTGGATCTTTTTTATGTGGGTTTTAGCGGCGTGTCCCCATACCGGACTGGCATAAAGTAAAGTAGGTCTAAGGATGGACTTGTATAAAATAAGCTTATTGTTGATAGTCAGATTGCTATGTCTGCCGAGGAGAGGACGCATAGTAGCTATTGAGATATTGAATTTCCTGACAGTTTTGTGTAAATGTTGCCGAAAAGTTAGTTTTTTGTCCAGTGTGACTCCGAGATACTTCACTTGATCCGTCCACTGAATTTCATCGTCAAAGAAGATGGGATTAGGTGGAAGGAAGTTTGTTTGTCCTTTTCTGAAAATAACAGCTTTGGTTTTGCCAGTGTTAATGGCAATTCTCCACAGCGTCATCCAGTTTTCAAGAAGCTCCAAATAGTTTTGTAGAAAAATTTGTACAGTACTGATGGTTGAAGCTTGAGATAGGATAGTGGTATCGTCGGCAAATAAGGCGATTTTAACTTTCTGATTTGATCCAACATATTATTTTGTTCACTTTGCTATTATTACTATTATTGTTACCTTATCAAAATTATGAAGCGAAAGAAAACATTTTCATTTTATTTTTCCTTTTAAACATTATATGCATTAAATAAGCTATGAATATTGGAATTAAACCTTCACTGAAGTCCAGATATAAAGCAGCATTTTAAAAATTGATACAGTAGTAAGACTAGAATTCGTGACATATTTTAATGTAAAATCTGTAATATGAAACACTGCAAGGTAATAAGAGGACAAGTCTGAAATATTTTTAGAAATGCTGCATATCTGTCTATAAAATTAAAGAGAAAATATTAGTGCATAAAGCAAAATTGCTTAAACAATTAATGTTGAAAAGAAATTTTAATAAAACAAACATTAAAATTGTCCTTGATTAAAATTAATACCTTCCCCCTTTTTTTTTTCTTGTAAATTTTGGTTCCCTTATGCTTCATTATTTCACAAACAACCTATTGTATTTTTAATTTTATAGTTTCTATTTGTAAGCTTACTAAATTTAAATGTGAAATCCAAACAATTCTAGATCTCGGACTTTGTACTATATATTCAATTTCCGCAACATGATAAGGGCTCTTTAAAAATAAAATCTAACTTATTTATATATAGTCCTCACAGATAAAAAATTTCTGTTAGTTAAATATGTTCATTTTATTATTATGCATTTATAGTTTGAAAACAAAAGGCTCTGTGTTTTTGTATTTACAGATATATGTTTAGTAAATATTTTTAAAAGTTCAGCTGTTAATTTAATAGTGAATTCTGCTTTACACAAAATGAAACTGTTAATTTGCAAAAGGAAACTTTTTTTCATAATAGGTACTGCTGAAAATTGATTTTTGGTCTTTAGTTTTGTTGGTAATGGGTATGGAGAAAAGATATGTCAATAAATTTGTTCTAGAATATTAGAAACCTTTAAAAAAGGGCATGTAATTGTTTAATACATTAAGAAACAGTAATGTATATTACCAGTTTGAAATTTTGTTGCATAAAACTAAATAAAGGTGTTTTTTTTTTTTTAAACAACCTTTTTCCTCACAGAGTTGAAACTTTCTTAAAAAGTTCTTTACATCAACTTTAAGAATCTTTACTTTTGGAACTATATACATAGTTTAAATTTTATTGAAATAAAGCATGTAGTCACTTTTTCCAAACATCCTATAATTGTATGTATATGCATACTTTCTACATGCATGTGAATATATATGCAATGAAATTTCTGCTTCTTTTTTTCTTGCAGGCCATTAAGGAAAAGGGCTTTCAAGCAAAGATGCTCCATATATTTGTGCAGAACCTGGCTACTTTATATAGAATTTCTATAGCTATTTTTGTATTAAACTGTTTGTAATTAAACTGTCAAAATTTTTATGCTGAATTCAGTATTCTTTTGATTATAATTATTTGCCTCTAGGATTATCATTTCTTATGACTTAGATAGGATTCTCTTAATTGGTTCAATAAAACAAGTAATTTTTTAATATTAATATGAGTAAAAAAAATCTTTACAAAAACTTGCCATCTTAAGCAGATATTCCTTTACTATTTGATGACTGAGCCAGTTTTCCTATGGAAGTTCTTTACAAAGTATTCCTTTAAGTCAGATGGATCTTCACTTTTTTGATTATTATCTGTTTAGGAACAAACTACATTCTTGTCTGTATAATAGCTTTTTTTAAATTAATTTATCTTTGCCATACTTAAGTTTTGAAAAGTAAAGTTTTATATTACCAAAAGTAATATTTTATAAAAAATTTAAAATTTTATTTATAATTCTTCAGTTTTAAAAGTTTTGTGTATAAATTTAGTAATTAACAGAATATATTCTATATACACTAGAAGCTTAAAAATGTATTTTTTTAAAATTCTTATATTATCAAATTTGTTAATTTGCAGATGGCTAAATTTCACTTCTATGTGCACGAAAATTATTCAGTAGTATACTCTAAATTTAGTCTATATATGAGGACAATTCAAAAGATAACATAACAGACCTTTTAAGAGATAAATTTTATTCACAAGCAGATATACAGTAGCAAGGCAATCGTAAATATTACCTTAAAAAAAAAAAAAAAAAAAGAGAGATCCAGTATTTTCTAGCAGAAGTGCCATAATAAATCATGCATAATGATGGCTGCATGCAGTTTAGCTTTGTCAGGCAGCATCACATCTTTTGTGGTGAGATGTCTGTGGATGCCTTGCACAGCAGTGTCATAATAACTGGCAATATTCACTTTTGCTTCCCTGGCGAGGAAATCAAACAGCAGCATGTCCAAAATGGTCCCAAAAGACTATTGCTATAATTTTCTTTACAGGTCGACAGGTTAAAAAAAAACAGGTAAACACGTAAAAGTGGGGCACCAGGGACTTTACTTCAGAATCAAACAGATATTGCCTAATACACTAACCAGATTGAATTTGACGACCCCATGAAGTCGCAAAAAATTTGGTAGTGATGGATGTTATTAGCTTATTGCGCCTAATTGGATGAGATTAAACTGCGGGCGCACGGTTAGACCAGAGGGATCGAAGGGTAAAATTTTTGATTGAAAGATTTGAATCAACTGTATAATTTTTCTCTAAAGAAACATTGGAATTGTTATATTTAAACATAAGCAGATGTTAACATAAAATTAGACAGTTATGTAACACAAGCTATTGAATATAGGCATTACAATATATACATTATGACAGTGTTGGATTGCATAAATACAATAGAGTTGATACTTTAGAGATCTTTGAATTTTTACATTTTTATGTAAGTAGATCAACATATGGGGCTTGATTTTACTATACTGAAATGTTTGGTTCTTGTTATGTTATGATGTTTGTTGCAGGCAAAACTGTATAGATCTCAAGTCGAAACTTTTATCAACTTTTAGTCGAAAGTTCATAAATGAAGTTCACGGGCTCAGTTGTATATGTTTTGTGTTTCGAAGAATTATGGAGATTGATGATATTGGCTCGGAATCAGCTTTGCAGTATATCCAATTCATTGCTCCTTCTGCTTTTTTGTTTTCTATAACTTTCTTTGCTGATGGCACCGTATTTTGCTTTTATTTATTGCAGATGGCTGCAGATTCTTATGTATAAAGTCCGATAATCTGCAACCCCTTAATCTATGAATGTTTTTTAATTTACGCTTACTTTTTAATGTAAACAAATGAAGTTTTAATTTCAGAAATTCAGCATGATAAATTTAATAGCAATATTTCTTATATTTTACACAAATAAACTTTTTAACACTTTACCGACCGCTAGCGTTTCAACAGCATATGCACGTCCGACCGGCCGCTCAGCTGCAGATTCTCTCTGCTTTGAATAGCTGTCAGGACAATCTGATAAATCGTCTAAATAAAACTCTCCAGTACCATTTTTTTCGCTCATCGTGAATGGTAAATTTTTTACAAATGGTGTGAAAATGTGGGAGTTTATGAAGCAGCGCACTTAACGCAAGTAAGCAATGTACCTCAATACGACTAATAAAATGCAGATGGGAATTGTTTATCGCCATGGCTACCGATTGATAGGCTATTTTTGGGTAGCCCCTAGAAAAAAGCGATTAATAGGCTATTTTTAGGTAACCTCGAGAAAAAAGCAATTAATAGGCGTTGGGGAAAAAAAGCCGATTAATAGGTTATCGGTCTGTAAACGTTGGCGAAAAAGAGCTGATTAATAGGCTATAGGTCGGTAGGCGTTGGCGAAAAAAAAGGCCGATGAATAGGCTATAGGTCGGTAGGCGTTGGTGAAAAAAAGCCTATCGGTCGGTAGGCGTTGGCGATAAAAAGGCCGATTGATAGGCTATCGGTCGGTAGGCGTTGGCGATAAAAAGCCGATTAATAGGTTATCGGTCGGTAGGCGTTGGAGGCGCCTTGGACCAGACTTCAGTGGTGCAGCGTGCTTTTTAAAGATGGGTCAAGATTCAGTGAGGATATTCGCTGCATAATTTGGCAGCCAGATCTCCTGAACTAAACCCAATCATAAACATTAAGCAAAGTAGTGCACGTTATCAAATTGGTAAGATTCGTTGATTCTCCGGATTTCTATAAAGAAAAGTAAAGGAATATTAGTTTGATGCAGATTATTTTGCAGAAAGTCCTCTCCAGTACAGAGTTTAAAATTAGCGATAAAAGCAGCATCAGGAAGGCACAATGAGGGGAGAAGAGAGCATGCCGTTTTAAATCTTTTGAGCGTAATTCCTAACACGCTGAGCTTTGACAAATTTGTGCTTCGACTTTGTTATCCGAGGGTAAGCTTGGTTAAAAAGGTTTCATTCTGCGGCCATCTTTGGCTAGAAAATCAGTTTTCTCGTTTCCTGGAGCAAAGCAAAAGAATGAAATGTTGATGATCATCACTGTTTGGTCATTTTATGCGCATAGAAAAGGTAGATGCATGAAATGATTACAGAACTGCAATCTTGCATCAAAATTATAGAGTTTCAGTAGCGGTTAGTTATCTTATTACCTTGAAAATGATACATGGATTTAGAGCAACTTCAGGTAAGTGAAATTCATTTAAAATGAATGAGGATAAGGCGATTTCCTAAAGTACAAGTGTAAATTCTAAATATGGACATCTGGAAGCCCAAATTTGGAATTTGTTTTATTATCTATTTCATATTTTGTAAAGCATTTATGAGTTTTTGATTAAGAAACTCAACGATTTCAAAGCGAGCGATCGCAACACTGTGCGAAAAAATAAAACATTTTTATCTCTAGTGCGCGAGACTGTGTATCGGAAATTATAAAGATATGCTGTTTGGAATATTTTGTGATATTGCCGTTGAACGGAATTTTATGGTTTTAGTGCGAAGAATATTTAATAAATAAATATGACACATAAAACGTTAAAAAAAGCCCCTTTAAGCCTAATATAAAATCTGAAAGCTTTCAGATTTTTTTTTTTTTTTTTTTTTTTTTTTTTTTTTTTTTTTGGATTCAGTGGTATCTTAATTATGTCGATTAGTTGCCGTTGTATATTCGACTGTATCGAACCCAATCAACCTCTTGATCATCGACTCCCAGAAGGTCAATACCAGCCCCGTTGGGAATGCTTGAATTATGTAATGATTTCAAGTAATGAATTTACGCAGTAGAAAAGGAATTTTCGTTGTTATTTATTGAAATAAATTACTGTACAGAAAAGTGATTCATAGATAACAACCCATGCACCACAATACTTACACACTATACACTTGGCAACCATGAATATGATAATCAAAATATTGCTAACAAAAGTAATGAAAAGTAATATTCAAATTACTTCAAAGAAAATGTCCCAAACTATTGTTAAGATCACCATTTTTTTATCAGAATGTTGGGAATGAAAGAAGTTTATATTCTGAGTAACATTCAAGAATTTTATGCATATTAACAAAACTTGAATGTAGGATTATAATTATAAAAAAGGATGCTGAATAAATTATTGCAGTGATCAGTTGAATGGTTTGGAACATTTTTATTGAAACTAAGAAAATATGAGCGATAAATACAGTTGAACTCAATTAAAATGGTTGAAAGTAAATGCAGATTGATTTCTTGATAAGTTTTATGAAAAATAGCCTTTTCAAGTTTATCAATGATTATGATATTTAATATCTGTGATCATTCAAATTTGTAGACTTATTCATAATTAGTATTCTAATCGGAAAATATTTTCCCTTGATTAAGTAAAATCAGATTTTGAGATCTTATCTAAGGGAAGGAGGAGAAAAACGAAAACGCGCTTTTCTTTAAAAAATACGCGGGAATAAAATTCTTTTCTATAATATCTAAAGTATATTGGATAGCTAATGAGTCAATTCAAAAATATAATACTGTATGCATAAAATTACTGGAGAAAATGCATTGATGAAAATTCGCATCAGGAAATTAATATAAAAGTAAACGCAAAATGCATAAATTTCTTTTGAAAAATGGATTGAGGGGAACAGTTTTACCAGAAAAAGAATTCTAGAGTTTCGAAAACGCATTCCTTCCTTATTAAGATATTTGAATTTAGGTAAAAGTTGTTAAATGAAATGATTTGAGGATTAGATCTTAAAATTAATATAATATAATACATTAATATAGAGTTATTGGGCCGCCCAACCGGTATAGTGGTTAGCGTCGCTGACTGCCGTGCTGAAGGGCCTGGGCTCGAATCATGCGGGCGGCACTCTAAATATTCGGCAAGCGGAAAGTCTTCTCGTGTGGTTTGGTGGAAGGGGAGAGGGGTCATCCCGTCTCGCCCGGGATGCTCTCCATCAAAATGGGGGGCGTAATAGAGCTAAATCGCACTGTCACCTGAATGGTGCTCAAGGCTGTTGCCAACGGCAGGCATAATCTAGCTCTCCTTGCCACGAGGAATTTCGGGGGCTTGGGCTGACTCCATCAAATAAGCAACAACAGAATTATTGGAGGGCTATTTTCCTAACATCGAGAGAAGAGACTCGACATCTTTGACTGTACTATAAATAAATGGCAATACTCATAGTGAGGCTGAAAAGGTGTTTTAAATTTAAAAACTCTGGGGTTAGATTTAATGATGTGAAAGTATGTTTGTAAAAGTTAGTATCTATTGGAGCCGGTCTTGTATTTTCAATATTATCATCATTTGTTGTATTTGCAAAAGAAGAAAACTATATATTGAAGCACTACATTTTTTTTTTGATAACTGTTAAATTATGACTGCAAACACAGCATAATGTTTAATTATAAATGGCTGAGAAATTTAGATCCAAGATTTCAGTGTTTAGTTTGCAAACTATGTTTTTGTAAGATTTTACGAATGTGATAATAACAATTTTGGAAATATTACAATCGAGAAACTTTTAAAAAATGTTCACATTAATCGAGCTCAGTGCATTTAGGAATTGAAAAAGTAGTGATTTGAAAGATGATAAAAATATTGTTTACTACCTGTCGTAAATGAAAAGTATTTTATGCTTTATAAAGTCCGTAGAATTGGAGTTTGTATGTAATGTACTATAATAAATTCTTATTATTATTATGGAAGGGGAGAGGTGAAAATAATTTTTCCGTATTAACTCACGGTAGGCGATTATAGCAGATAAGGATTTTGTTCTGCCCACTTTTTGTACAACAGATCTTCAACAGCTTTGTATCTTTAGGTAGCTTAATTTTTCCGCTGGAGTTCCTATTTAGCAAAGAAAATGGAAAATGATACTGATGGGATCTGCAACATTTTGTTTCGCCTTGTTTTTAAATTGAGCAAATATTTAATTAATAATCGCTGATATAACCTGAAGGGACAAATTATTAAATATAGCTTGAGAATAATATGAAAATCACTATCTGTGGCCCACAAAAACTAATGATTTGTATAAAAACGCAGGTCTCTGTGTACTGAAAATATATTGGTATAATTATGGTATGTGGGAATTATATCGGTGTATTCAAATAAAGTAGGCTGTTCTACCTTAATTTATGCCACTGCCCAACCCGGTTTTAAAATAGGCCCATATTTTGGACAATTGGTATAGATAAGAGGCTCAGAACATATCAGAAACCTTGGGGCCATGATTTTGTTAAGACGGCCATATAATTTGCGTGTTTGATTGGCACATGTATTAGATGTCATGAAGGCACAACCGAAGTTTAGATATTTAGAAATTTAGGTACCGTATTTCACTTAATTTTCGCATCTTCTCGAAATACGATACAACTTCCGAAAAAGGGTATAATTTTTGCATTATTCTCAAAGTGAAAGCAAAATGCCCTGTACCATTGTAGAAATCATACAAGGTTTAGAAAAAGCTACTTTGCAAAAAGTCATAATAATTTAACTAGCCCGCCCCATTAGTCTGTATGCAAGAGCAAGTTATGGCAACCGATGTTTACGTCGTGTCTCAGACAATGCAAGATACAGCTGATCAAGTTTCACTTCGCAAAAGTGTACTAGTAGTAGCAGTAATGAATCGTGATTTCAAATCCATTTACACTAGGAAAAGTGTATGTATAAAGTATAGATATCAAAGAGGTATAGATTGGTATTACTAAACTGGAGATAATGGAGAAATAATTTACATGGATTTACTGGAATACTTTGTATTCACGGGAACCTTTGTCACTGGTTTAAGTTACGCAGACATCCTGTGGGTTTATGTGTCAATCCTACAAAGATTTTCTTCACTCTAAATGATCCCGTTTTTCGACGTGATATTGGCCACATCATGCCATTTTTTAGTAGACATCTGGTTAGAAAAACATTAAACAAGATTGGAGTGACTTCTCTTTCCAGAATCTGACTCAGACAGCCGGGCTGTAGGCGCAGAGTTCATTCAGAGACGACAGTGCTTATTTCCCTTGTTTCCACATTTTGTCTCTTGTTAAGTTATAGAGCAAACTGAAAGGTTTATTTCGAGTCTGTGAAACACCACTAGCAACTTCAGATGCTCTACGGCAAAGCTTTTTGGAATTCTGGACTACAATACTATGCTTTTATTTTCAATACTTTAAAGTAATATGAAAATAACTGTTTACTGCTGTAAAATAAAAGAGTGATCATACGCAGTTAAATCATTGTATACACTAATTTGTTCTACAGCAAAAATTTGTACATATATTTTTTTTATTTATGCATGCAGTTCGTTTGAAATAAACAATTCCATGTTTTCAAATCCGCTTTCACAATATGATGTATAACAGCAGTATTTCTTCACAAATTCTATAGAATAACAAATTTTGTGTGATTAAGCAGGTATGATGTTCGATATACAGAATCTATTGTCTGATGAAATGAAGAGATAAACTTTTTAATGATTTTACGCTTGTGAAGATGTAAAATGTGAGTTTAAAGAACCATATTCAAATAAGAAAGATGTTCCGATGAAATTTTAAATAAATTTCAAATGAAATGCTTATATGTTTTAATATAATTATAGGTGACTTAATAACTTTATATATAAACATATTACTGGCATTGTAATGAGACTCAGGTTTTATATACAGCATTAGATTTCACACTTTGCCAGTAACATACGTATAGAAAGAGAGAAAGAGAAAATTATTTTTTTCCAAATTCCTAATGGGAATTTTGGTGCTGCCAATTTTACGAAACATTAGATCGTGTTTGAAAGGGAAAGTTTCAGTTTTGTGATGGAATTTCAGAAATCTGAAATGCCTTTTAAATCGTGCATTATCGCTTTGAAACTATCAGACTGATGAATTTCAGATTTATAGTGATCGCTATCACGTGGCACTACGTTGTAAACATGTTCTTTAAGTGGTTCATGTTCTACAAGTTTAGCTTTCTTCCATTCTTCATCGTGTATCAATTGATAGGTTGGAGACTGTTTTATATTCAATAGCTTCTTATTGTCCAGAAGAGCGTCAGCTTCCTGGAGTCTGAAATGTAGAAGATGAATATCAGATATACTGAAAAATATTTTAAAGATAAATATATGATAAGAATTTGAATGGCTAAAATTTGCACGAAATTTTACAGCAATATTTAATTATACTGAAGTTCTTTTTTGTAGAAATATTTATCTGAATTGCCTTCAAAATATTACCTCAGAAAAAGAATTCGAATTTATTAATAGAAGATAATGTTTTTTTATGCTGCCTTTTTACATAGTCATAACAGGCTGTCTTCCGATGTTTTCATGCTAATTGCTTTCAAATAAAGATCGAAATTCAGTTTTATAAATGCAAATGGATAGTTAATTATTTCTGTATATGTACTTATTATTTTAGTAAGAAATATGCATAACTACGCAGTATATTTCAAGATTTAATAATCAAATATCTCTTGAATAACTGATGAAAGACACACTAAAGAAAATCAATAAAAAAATCCACTCCGATTCCAGTATGATATTTTGTGACATGACTATTTAATCAAAATGAATAAAACTTGGAACCAGTAGGTGTGGTGGTGGTGGTGTGGTGTATTTAATTACGGCAAAGCACACTAGGGCTATCTGCCAAAGGGGAGGGATGCCTTTCGTGGAGGACTTTCTAAGGGAAACTGGCTCGTATACACGTTACACATGGGGAAAACCACGAAAACACCCATGCAGCCAGCCCGTTCGCGGGATTCAAACCTCGGACCGAACTACCAGTGTTCAGCGACTTTACCGCTCGGCCGCTGGTGGGCCTGGAACCAGTAGGAAAAAAGTATCATTGAGGAATTTGCTTTCATTGCGGAACTAGGAAAAGGAAAAAAAAAATAATGAAGCGAAATATCATTTAATAAAATTTTTAAACTTTTTCCGAATAGTTCTATTAACGTTTTGGTAGTTCATGTAAAGAATACTGTAGTGGCAGTGCATATTTACGAAGAGGGGGTTGATTTTGGTATAATTTCGGTCTACTTCTCGCCTACCGAGGACCTTAACCACACTTATAAAAACTGAAAGGATTGTTAGTCTTTTTGAGAATTTTATAATTTGTGGTGATTTTATACGGGGCTGGACTGAACGATTCCCTTGGATTTCTAATTTTATAACTCAAATGAATCTTATTCTTTTTAATGAGCCGGATTCCCTTCCTACATTTGTTTCCTCGGTTGGGCAAAATGGACTGATTTTGTAATCAGATCCTCCTCCTTGAATCAGTTTGACATTCAGCTTGATATTCTTGATGAAGAATCACACAGCGGCCATCGTTTTATTTTGATTAATATTAGACAAATTGAAATTTTGAGTTCTGATGACTATGTTATTTCGGCTGATAGCAAGCGAATTCGTTCCTTTTGTAATAAAGTTAAAGAAAGAAATTAGGAAATTCGAATATCTTCTTGGAAACACTGACTCTGAAAAAGACTTAAATAACTTTGTTTTTGATCTGCAAGAGTTTTTGACTTCAAATATGAAAACACTTTTAAAATCTGAGAAGAAAAATAAATCTTTGGTCACTTGGTGGAATGATGGTCTAGCTCGTACTCGTAGGAGAGTCCGTGCCCCGAGGTCTAGATCTCAGGTCAGGGATCTTGATTGCGAAGAAAGAATTAAGAGATACTTAAAAAGTATGTTAAGTTTTTCGAATGGGAACTTCTAAAAGCTATCTTTTACATCTGAAAGACATCAGTGCAGAAAAATTGGTTTCGAAAGAAAGTATTTAAAGGATGAAGAAACGCAAACTAGTGTAAAAATGTGTATGATGTTCATAGTTTTGAATATAGCAAAAAAAAAAAAAAAAAAAAAAAAAAACTTTATAGGAAGATTAGTGTTGGTACAAAAATTTGCATATCAGTGAAGGGGAACAACAAACAGATGTTCTTTAATAAGATATATGATCTCTCTTAACTACAATGCTTGTGTGGTATCATCTCTCCATACTTAACCAGATAATCAAACATTTTTTGAAGTAAGAATGATTATTTTTCCAAGAGCATCTGTTTTTGTTGGTGTTTGCCGGTGGATGTTCTCGTGCAGAAAGACGTCTTCCCAAAGCATCCCACATACATTATATTATAGGATTTAAATCAAAGGAGCATGCTGACCAATCCATTCCAATGATATCTTCAGTTTATAGCAATTTCTCCGCAGCAAAAGTCTAATGTATTTAGGCTTTATGATCCATAAAAACGAATGAATGATTTTTGTGCTCTTTACATCAATCTAAATGGCGCCAGAAATGGGTGGTCATCAGTAGGATGCAACGCTCTGTATTATTAGGAAGTAAGCCATTTTTATGAAGAAGAATGGCCACAGTAAAGAACGACATTGACATCCTTTTTACCATACGCCGTTGTTGAGCAATGCTGCCCTTCTGAAGTTGTTTACATGGTTCCTTTTAATCATGTTACACTTACAACTCACTTAGACATGAGCAGCAAACATTTTTAATAATAATTACTTTCATCCTCCTTTAGCTTATCATCAAGCGTTGCTGAGTCTATTGCAGGCTGTATATGTGCTCTCACGTGACCTAAGATATCTTATTTCTGTTAGTTGCATGTTAAGTACCTTTCTATTGAAATAGATGTTTTAATCGCTGCAAGCCCCTTTTCCGAATTTTATAACGTTCTTCTTCAAAAATAGGTTTGTGCTTAAGTTTTGCATGCTAATGTATACAATCTGCTCACAGAATGGAAAGTTGGACGCCCGAAGGTTTACAAAGTTAGTAGTTATTATTTTTTTTTCATCCGATCCAATCGGGCTCATAACTCTGAATAGGTTCTGAAACCGTAATCATGTCGTTACTGTAGCTTAGTAGTAAGCTAGTGTAACTGATAGGCAACGAGAAGCCACATCATTTTATTTATTATTAACTTTTAGTTGTATTGCCACAAGTCTTGAATTTGTCTTGTGATTCAGAACCAACTTGCCAACTGTTTGAGGTAGACAGTTAGGTTTGACAATAAGCAGGTCTTACTTGAATATTTTAGAAGTTAGATAGTTATTGCGACATGCTTGTCTGAAATGTTACTCTTAATTTACATTTCCTGTATTTTTTATACGAAAAAAAGTTGTTCTGAAATATATATTTTTCAAAATGATATTACGGGCATTTTTGGGAAGCTTTGCATTATACATGTCATCTGCAAATTCGCATTTAGTTTGACTTTAACTGAAAACTGGAGTAATAGATGTATCGAAGCGCAAAAAGCTTTTTTGAAATCTTAAAATTTAAATCAGTCTTCAGACAAAATATAACAATTAGTGCAGCATATATTTCGCTATTTGCAAGTCTTTGTCGAGACATGGTTCCAGAATCGATTATCTTGTTGCTCTTGATATAAGTTAGCCACAATTTCAATTTCGAATAATTTCATTCTTTGAAATTTCATTTACTGGTGGGGTTTCACCTTCCTTTCCCATGAAACATAGCATTCGCTTTCTTGACGCTTTGCAGTGTCCATCCGACCATATCGTCCCTCCCCTGCACATGCTGCTTTTACATTAAAATTTAATAAAGTAAGAATTTGAGCTACCTATATACAGATGCCATAGTAAATTTTGCGATAAATTCATTGCTTAGCAATTATTACTGCAACTGATAGAGGAATGCAACAACAGCTACGTGAATCTAATGTCTACGCAAGATAGGTGCTGTGAGTGCACCATTCTAATATAAATACCAAGAGTGTGGACCAGGTGGGGTGGTTTTCGAAATCTTAAGAAGCCAGTAATCTTCATCTTCTTATGAAAGTGTGCTAAATTTTATCAAGATCGGAGTAAAACTGTAGATTTGTATGAAAGACAGACATACGCACACTCTTCTTTATTTGTACAGACTAGTTGGTAGAACTTGGCGTCACCCGGGTTCTACTAGAACTGTCTAGAAGGTGTTCGCTTTACGCAAGTGATTTTCTCCTTATTTTGGTTCAAGGTGAATTGTGCAAAATTTTACCAAGCTCGAATAAAACTGTATAATTTATATAGATAGACAAAAAATATTATTTCTTTCGCACCACTTATCTCAAAGCTTGAGGTTACACAATGCTTTTCGTTCGTTCGTCTGGACCATATACAAATAAACAAAATATCCAGCATTACGATTATTTAGCAAGCCACATATAACTGGCTATGTGTAAAATAGGGTGTTTACAAGTTACATGGTGCTTTCAAATTAATATATTTCAAATTTTAAATAACCTTTTGCGTCTTGTTGACACCCACAGCAAATTCAAGCTGGATAGGAAACTGCAGTTGCTTGAAATCGAAGGGTGTATTTAAATCTTTGGGTATCAACGGAATGCAATGAATGAATACATCTTCAACTGCGGCATGCCCCGTAATAATAGGGGCTTCTTTTAAGTTCGGCAAAGATTCACTGTGAGCTTTGTTCTACTGTACATCTCTGGCATGTTTACGTTGCACAATAATATGACAGTGGGAACTTTATGTAAAGTAAGACTGTGTGGTGGTATTCCTACGGAATCAAGAGGATTTAAAAATTCTGACGGGTAATGCACAACTTGCTCTGTATCCATTGCTTGAAATTGAGGAAAAGGTAACAAAGTTGGCGGAAAGCATTTTTTGGATAAGCTTGTCATATCATTAAGAATTAACATCAGTCTGCCAATCGATTGTTTGAAGAATTGAGTTTTGTTTTGTTATCCTTTATGTCTTTCCCGGAAATAATCTTTCAGAAAATAACAATTTACTTTGGTCAATTTATTCACGAATTTGGTCATGTCTTCAACTTTCGAAATATTCGTGAAAAGCTGAAACAGCGGGCACTTAAATTTCGTTTAAAGGTTCTATACTGCTCTAATGAGTAAATAAACACGGCGCTATCTAACGATTTTTGTAGGAAATGATAGCGAGAACGCAACAACGGGGACCTGAACCTAAGAATAGTGATATGTACGCAATATAGGTGTCGTGAGCGCAATGCTGTAATTTAAAATCTGTGGACTGTGGACGCCGTGGTGCAGTTTTTTGAAATCTTACGTAAACAGTAACCTTCCTCATGTTTTGAAGGTCACGTGTGTCATACTGATGAGCCCAGTTTAGAATCCCAGAAAAGGCACAAATGTTTCTAAGTGTAACTAATGTTTATAAATAGCTTTGCGACATAGAAAAGAGACCTTTTGATCCGTCTTACCGACAATTCTCCTTCAAAACTGAGCTGTCGTTTTGAAGTATATGGCCGCACTGCTCTGCGCTCTGACAAGCGCGCTCTGACATTCAAGCGCGCTCTGACATGCGATGGGGGGACAAAGGAATACAAACCACAGGTCGTCAGGCGTACAGTCCACCTTCATATAGTCGACGTGACACTGTTTGGCGGGATATGGGCCGTCCGGCCGTAAGGAGATGCGACGCCAGCTGTTGTGCTGATAGTGATCTACGGCGTCTTGCAGACAGCAACAGGAAGCGATGGTCTGCCGTTGTGGCAATCCACCGGTGTCCAGATCTACGTCTTCTACAGGGGTTTTGATCTCTCTGGTAACGAATCCCTCCCCAGTGATTACAATAGAATGCACACTTAGCTCCCTTGCAACAGTGAATCGATCTTGCACCAGCTTTCAACATGCCATCAGTCCTCCAACGCATTTCATCAATCAAATGGTGTCTTTGGCTCATGCTTTCCGCTTTGGCTGTCTTGGATTACACGAAACCAACGCTGCTTGCGAACTGCCCTTTTTTAACGCGTTGTGATGTGATTGCGGGATTGCGTTTTATACTCATTATGATTGTCGTTTGCATTCGGTGATGCAATCTTTACCTCATACGAAATTGTGTGTTTTAATTCCCCTCTTTACATTCGTACCTTTTTTGTTAGCATTTATTGCTTATTTTTTTAACACGAGTGTATATACTTACGGAGGTTTCTTCGTCATCACTGTTTGTGCTGCTATAGCTTCAACAATAGCTTGATTAGAGTACATATTTATTGGAGAATTATACTGGCGGTGGTAGATATGCGACCCGTTGTGGAGACCGATGTCAGGTGTTGGGGTTCTACGAGGACTTGGTGCACCAGATGAATGGGCTGCTTCTAATATTGCTTCTTGCACCTGAAGGAAAAGATCTATATGAATAATTTAGATTTAGGAATTCCCGAATTTGGGCATTTTTTAATCACTCCGAAATTTGCATTATTGCGGAAAACAAACAAACTAAAAAATAAAGAACAGTGAATTCTGCTTTGAAATTTTATTCTTGTTATGAAATTATCAAGTATTACTAACTGTTATCAGAAAGAATATACATACATTTTAAAAATGAAATTTTTAACATTAACTATATATATATAGTTAATGTTATAAATTAAATTATATTAAAGGGAGATTAATTTATATATTTATATTTTTATTATCTTGTATATTTTTTCCCTTTTGCATTTTCAGTTTTACTTTTAGAGTTTGTACCACTATAAATTCTTATTTTAATTTTGAATTGTTTTTTGATTGTCTTAAACCTCTTATACACGGTTGCAATTATTAATATTGTTGAAGAATGGCCTTGCGTTGACTCCAGTTTACTTTAGATGCTTTATGTTTATATATATATATATATATATATATATATATTTGAAAGCGTATATATATATTTGAAAGCGATAGTGTCGAGGAACTCTTTGCTCAAGTAACAAAAATAATAATACTGCTACTCACTCTAACAATAATATCTCACGATATTAAAAAAAATTAAAACTTGACGGAACTGTCATTTTCATAATGAATTCTAAATAGTACATTAACTTAAATTCATCTCATTTATAATCTACCTACTTTGCTTAACTTACCTAATACCAGTTTGGCATAATTCTTACTTGAGTAAAAGACGAAACACTGCGAATTATTCTCGTGTATACTCGGTTATGTACAATAAATATGTACAATATCTAAAATGTACAATATCTTTGCCCTAACATAAATGGGTTCGACGAGATTGATATAAATCAGTGCGTGTTTTCTCGTGATAAAGGAAACTGCATAAATTAGTATAACGATTTAACTCGGGTTATGTCCTTAAGCTGTTACAATAACGTTATAACATACAAGATAAATTAGTCAGACTGCAGATAAGAAGCTAGAGAACTTTCGTTCAAATTATTCGCATTTCGTATTTTAACTGACAAATATTGATTTTGATGGTGGCGATTTCTACAACCAGTGTAAGTTATGAAAATTTTGTGCTTAACATACTTTTATGTGGTAGTTAGGAAACTATAGGATTAAGAAAAATAGTTTCTAACAATACTTAAACGGAAGAAAAAAAAGAAAAAAGAAATACATACCTTCGTAAGCATGAAGGGATCGTCGAAACGTGGGCCTAAGTTTGGTGGCGTACTTGTTCTCCTGTTTAATGGGTCGAATCTGAGATATGAACCAACTGGAATATCTTTGGAAGGTTTAGCTGACGGTAGAATTAAAGGAGTAGATCGGTAAGGCTAAAGAGATAAATGGAAAGAAAAAAAAAACTTTTGAATTAAAAAAAATGGTATAGTTATGCTGACAGAATTATACTGACTAGATAAAAAGGATAGTCACTCTTGCTGAAAGTTTACAAATTAGCGTCTAAATTTTCCTTCTGATTGGCACTGAGGTTCTCTTTTTTTTCTCCCCCCCCTCAAGTTGACGGCCGTATTTTATCAATTATTTGGAGTCGATCCTCAGCTTGTTACTTGAAGAACCCGAATCAAATCTTTCAAAATTTCGACACATTTATGTGAAGTTTAGCAGAAACTGGGATTTACCGAATAGTTGAAATCATTGTTGAATACAGCTTTTCAATACAAATTCAACAATATTTCGATATATAGAATAATTACATTTATGTACATTGCAGATCCGTTTGAAATGCGGTTTAGCCCTCTGCTTGGCGATTTTTTTCAATGGGCAATAAACGCGCCAACATGGCTAACCCGATATTTTGATTGCATTATTCAATTATGGCAAAGCACACGAGGGCTATCTGCCTAAAGGGAGGGATGCCTTCGTGGAGGACTTTCTAAGGGAAACAGGCTCGTATACACGTTACACATGGGGAAAACCACCCGATATTTTGAAGCTGTGTTGTTATTCTGTTGCCACTAAATGTTATCGCTCTGTGTTATATTTAAAGAAATTAATATAGAAAAATCTGCAAAAATGTTTCTCGTATTGTGATAAAACAAGGGTACCTAGAGCCATCAAATTTTGAATAACGCACGTTTCCAACCGAATATGGATATTTGGAAGCCCAAACTTGGAATTTGGAATTTTTTTTATCATCTGGTTCATATTTTGTAAAACTTTAACGAATTTTTGATTAACAAACTCGAAGATTTCAAAGCGAGCAACGGCAACACAGTACGGGGCAAAAAACATTTTTATCTGCAGAGCGTGAATCTGTTTATCGGAAATTTAAAACTATGCTCATTTTAAAATTATTTTGCGATATTGCTGTTGAACTGAATTTTATGGTTTAAGTGAGAAGAACATGATATTTGATAAAGAAAGGTAACACACAAAACGTTTAAAAAAACGCCCCTTTGGGCGTAATTTGTAAAATCGGAAAGCAAGGGTTTTTTTTTTGAAATTTATACTTGTTAACTTGAGCAGTTAATTCTGTTGCGGTTTGAATGTTCTTATCTGGTGTTTCTTTTTTTTAATCGAGTGTTTTTTTTTTTTTCCCCTGTGGGTTTTTGCCATTTTCCTGCATATATTACGAAAACGGCGTATAAAACGTTAGTAAATTTATTTAAAGATGAGGGACAGGGGGTCCAAAAGAGTTTCCTCCTGAGATAAATTCAATATATATATATATACATATATAAAGCCCCTCAAAAAGACTTTACATTTTTTCTGAAAAGGGTAAGTGAAAAATTTTTTCTTGTATGCTTCGTTTTAAAGTTGCTTATTTTTATTATTTTGTTTTTCTTTTCAGCTCACTCCTAGAAGATTGGAAAAGCTGAGGTTGTGCAATTCTCTGATGTTTTTTAAGTGAAAATAGATCGATATGTACATGGGCAAAGCCAACGCAGTGCGCAATGCCGAGTTTGTGCAATTCTCTGATTTTTTTTTTTTTTTTGTTTGAGTGGAATAGATGGATGGGTACATCGACACCACGTTTTTGCAATTCTTTGAAGTTTTTCGAGTGAATACAGATCGTTGTGCACATGGGCATAGCGAGGCTGTATGTTATACTGAGCAGTAATGTAACGTATTTTATATGCATTGTTTAATGTATTTTTTGTGTATTTTAAATTTGCATTGTTGTTTTAATTGCAAGTTATACTTTAGACATCTTTTTTTTTATTGTATTTTTAATTGTTTGGTTTTGATACGTTGATAATGGTTTCCGAAAAATATCGATAATCCGACGATCTACTCAATAGTAGCAAAACTGTAAACTTTGACCCTATAAATAACTTTTACTTTTTTATTTTAATACGTAGTATTTGCTATCGCAATTGCACTTGATAATATGAGTTCATTGATAATGTGTGTGTGAAGCATTGCTTAGTGTTCCAGATTTGTAGTGTTTATTTTCTTTCATTGTGAGAAATTAGATTTTTTTTTATTTGTACAATGTGTAGAATTCTAGTATGAATATAGAATATAACGTGATTTAAGAATTTACGAAACAGTGATATGAAAGCTGCGTATGATGTTGATATGCAATAAAAATATTTTTCTTTTTTATTAATGTAAAGTTTAAAATTTTTAGGAAATAATGAAGATTGTCTACTTACTAGTACCTAAAGGATTGTGTCGTTACGTAGCAACAAGGTAATTTGTAAAAATGATAAAACTAAAATGTTCGAAAATATGAATTTAAATTTGTTGGCAACTACTCCGGTAAAAAAAAAAAAAAAAAAAAAAAAAAAAAAAAAAAAAAAAAAAAAAAAAAGAGAGAGACAGAAGAGGGAGATAGTTATTGATTCAAGCGTATTGGCAACAGAGAGAAACCAGACGAAAACCGTATAACTAGCATTTTTTCAGAACTTGAACTCGATTTTTGGTAGTTTTTGAATCGGCTGTAATTGTTCTTTAAATGATTGTCCTTTTAAATTAAAAATGTAAATAATAATATGTCAATAGAAAACCAAGAAAAAGCAAAATCATCTGTATGATTTATTTTACGTTATGAATCATTAACAAAAGAAGACATCAGTATTTTTCTAGCAGCTATCCGGAATATAATCCAGCATCAAGAAAATCATCAAAGGGGGGGGGGTAAGTCGTGAAATTTATTAAGCCCTTATATTAATAGATTTAACACAAATTGGAGTATATACTATTTTATTTAAAAGACACGCAATAATTTGCAACATTCTGATATAGTTGCCGCAATAAATTTATTAAAAATCTTTTTTTTATTTGTATAAATTCTAAAGCTTAGAAACCTTTGAAAATACTGAAGTTGTATTAAATACAAAAAAACGAATACGAATCAAGATACTATTGAATTCCTAGACCTGCAAATTATTAAACACAGCAAAATTAAATTATTTGATAAAAGAAGGAATTTCCATTTTCATACTATTAAACTAATTAATTGGAACTCTAATATCTCTAGAAAAGTAATAGAAAACACGTTTCATAGCCAAATAATCAAAATAAAAAATATATGTACTGAAATAGACGATTTAAAGGAAGAAATAATAAAGCTAATTAATGTTCAAGTTGATAATCAAGTACCACCAAAATTTATTAATTTATATATTAAAAAGGCAGGCATTGACTTTACTTTATAATTTTTTGGCTCTTTTGGATATGATAACATTACCTTAAACCTTAGCTGGAGGGTAATGAAGGATATAGAAGAGTAAAGAAATTATCTTGTAAATTTTTATTGTAAATATTTTGTAAATAGTATGTATATTTAATCAATACTGGATTCTTTTCTTTTACTAATAAAGGGCCAACTCTTCTCAAAAGTCTCAATTATAGCCCGAATTGAGTGAAGATTTTTAATCTTCTTCTTCTAATTTTGCATACTTTAGCCAGTATTTAGTTAAGTTTTAATATACCAATTGAAATCAAGTTCATTAAACTTTTAATATTTTCTTTCATTAAACATAACTTTTAATTAACTTCCTAAAAGGAATTTTTGGGAAATTTCTGGGAATTTTTTTAGAGGTTTTTTAAGGACTTCGTTTCAAAAAATTTTGGGAAATTTTACTTTAAAACTTTAATTTTAAAACATTTCATTTTTTCTTAATTACTTTAATTATTTGCAATTTTCACACAAAAAAATTTTTCACTTAACGTTTTTTACAATTTTTACACAATTTTTCTACAGAACACACATTTCACATTACAAACAGTTTACATTTTTTATTCACAATTCCACTTAACTTTATTTTCCTTCAAGCAAACTTACATCTCTTGATTGACTCAGCTACTTAACTCCCTAAATAATTGATAATTACTACCTTTAGGATTTTTAATTTTTAATTTAATTTTTTTAATATTAATGTTTACAAAAATTTTTAATATAACAAAGCAGCTTGACACTCAACTTTACCTACATAAGCGCCATCTATATAATTTGAAGAACACACTTACTTCTCTTTAACAACACTTTTGCAGACCCCAACACTCATATAGTAGGTAAGTTAGAATTAAAACTTACTATTTACTTGCTTTAAGTATTTTTAAAAATTTTTATGTAGTATTTAAGTATTTTCTAAATATGAAATTATATTTTTAAATATATATTTGTTTTTTTTAAAAAAATTGTGAATTAGTTGTTTTTATTTCTTATTGGTTTATATGGATTATGTCTAGTTCTTTTTTAATTTCTTTTTATTGATATGCATATTCGTGTCGGGGAGGTTTCTGTAGACAAGGGTTTCTAAAATACATTGGTTTCTAGATTATTTTTTATTTTTTATAAAAAATTAATTTTTAAAAAATTTAATTTTTTTTAAAAAAGTTTAATTTAATACTTGACTTTACTTGTTTCTCAAAAGACTTCATTAGTATTTTCCTTTTAGAACTTTATTCTTAAATTTAATTCTTAAATGTTAATTTCTAAGGGTACCACTTTAATGTATTTCTTTTTACTTTTGGTTTTGACTTTTACCCTTGCCTGCATGAATGACGAAACACGAATTGAATGATTGGAGGCAACTTCCCCTTGATAAGTCTGTCTCCTGCCTACTCAACAGTCATTCACTTATGCATTTTAAAAAAAAATTGTTTAGTTTAATTTTAATTTGCTAAGTGAATTTATTTTCATGGATTGGTTTTGCACTTGATTTCTTATGCTTCTGAATTTAAATGATATTGTAGATTAGTTCGAGAATTAAATCTTTTATATGTTTGCACATTTTTTTAAAATTTAAAAAAAAAAATTATTTTGGCTTTTTTTCTTTTTTTGGGTTTTAAATTTGCTTTTTTACTTTTATATACGTGTTTGTTAAAATTTAAATTTAAATTTGTTTAAATTTAAATTTGT